TTTGCAGCCCAATAATAATAGCAAAGACTTGGTAGAGCTAAGCCACCCTGTAGTTTAGGCCTCTGCAGTAGTTCCATAAGTACTCTGGGGCACTTATCATTCCATATGAACGAAGTGAAAGCTTTGTTGATAGATTGGAATAAAGATTTTGGAAGATAAAGTGGGATACATTGGAACAATTACAGGAATTTGGGGAGCACATTTCCATTTCTTTAAATCCATTTTAACTTTCTCAAATAGAGGAGAGAAATTTTCCTGAAAAAGGCCCTGCATATCTCTTGTAATATCGATGCCCAAGTATTTGAAGCCATTCCTAGACATTTGGAACGGTAAAACGTTATCCTGTATTTGAAGAGCTAGGTCGTTAACAGTGTAACATTCACTTCTACTAAAGTTAAGTTTGTACCCAGAGAATGTACCAACGTTCTTCAATGCATGGGTAATATGAGGTATACTTAGAAGAGGGTGTGATATAAATAAATCATCCACATATAGAGATAACCTATGTTCTTCTCCACCTCTATGAATTCCACTTACTGATGGCAATGATTTGAGTGTGATAGATGGGGCTCTACGGATAAGACAAATAACGATGGACTGATTGGGCATTCCTGTTGAGTCCCTCTTGACAGCTGGAAGTACCATGATTGCTTACCATCTGTAACTATGGAGGATTTGGGTGAATTGTATAAAAGTTTAATCCATGAAATAAAATTTGGGCCATATCCAAATTTTTTAAACATTTAAATAGTATTCCCATTCAACCCTGTCAAAGGCTTTCTCTGCGTCCAGTGAGACAATGACCCGGTGGGGTACCAGAAAGGGTTTCAAGAGAGCGAGAGCTTTGGCTAAGATCTTCACATCACTGTTTAAGAGAGAGATGGGTCAATATGAATCACATTCTACGTTGTCTTTACCTGGTTTAAGCTACCAAAAGGTTGATGCCTCAGTCAGTGTTTGTGGCAGTGACCCATGGGAGAGAGAATCATTAAACATATCAAGTAGAATAATAGATAATTTGTTTGAAACTGTTTAAAGAATTCACTTAGGAAGCAATCATGGCCAGGCGTCTTACCGTTTTGCATTGATGTTATTGCATTAATGATTTCTGTATGTTGCAATGGGAGTTCAGTCTTAGTCCTATGCATTATGTTTATAGAAGGAGCCTGGAGATCACTGAGGAAATTTTCCATGTCAGTACTGTTGTTTGTTATTTCTGACGTATATAGGTTTGAGTAATACGCAGTAAATGTGTCACTGATTTCCCCTGGATTAATAGTAAATTCACCATTTTGTTTCCTTATTTGTGGGATTTGTTGAGCAACTGATCGGTTCTTAAGTTGGTGTGCCAGAAGACGACCAGCTTTTTCGCCGTCTTCATAGACATAACCACAAAAATTCATTCTGTCTTATCAGTTGATAACAAGTTGTACTGAGTTTGGAGATCTAGCTTTCTTTTAAAGAGTTCAGGACGGGGAGGTAGAGTATTGAGTGTCTGTGGTTATTGATTTAATGAGCTGATCTTTTTTAAGTCTCCATATTTTATTAATCCTAGCTGAGTATGACATAATCTCTCCCCTGATTACAACTTTTAATGTTTCCTAGAGGAGTGAAGGAAAAATATAATCTTTTTTGTTAAATTCTATGAAGTCATCAATTTTCTTGGATATTAATTCGCAAAAGGCCTTGTCAGCCTGTAAAGTTTTGTCTAGTTTCCAAGGAGGGCATTCCAACTTAAGAGGAAATGTAATGTCTAGCAACACATGGACATGATCTCTTTCGATTATAGTTAGATATTCAGTTCTTGTGACACATGGAAGAAGAGTTCTGTCAATAAAAAAATGGTCTATTCTACTATATGAATGGTGTACTAGAGAAAAGAAGAAGAATTGGCTTTGTGGAAATAAAGAACGCCAGGGGTCTACACCTCTTACTTGATCCATAAAAGCTGAAAGCGACTTGGCCATTTTTGAAGGAGTTGTAGATTTAGGATTAGAACAGTCCAGTATTGGATTAATAACACAGTTTAGGTCATCACCAAAAATAAGTTGCTGTGAGTTTAAGTCTAGTATTAGTGAAATATTGAATTTATGAATTTATCACCATCCCAATCACAGGTATAAACATTAATAATGTCTGCGATAATGTAAAAGCTGCAGACAGAATAAGGTCAGAGATGGTTGAACAAACACATTTTCAAGTCAATTCATATAGTTCAACATTACCGTCTCCAAGCATGGTCCAAAGCAGAAACACATGTTCCTATTCTTTACTGATCCTCTGGTCATAAAACTTCTTAGCATCATCCGGTGAATCAAAGGTGAGGACTTCACTCCAGTATAACGCATAGCTGGGCCGGGTGTAATTGCTGGAATCAGACGTTCTTCTGGTACAGGGCTAGCTTTATATCATTAAATGCAGCACGTTTTATGGCAAGCGCTAGGCTGAAGTCTTAATAGACCCCGGAACTTCAGCTCATGGTTTGTGGCCCAATGCAGAGGAGCCACTGAAATCTGGAGAAACAGACCAGGAACAGGTGAGGCAATTTTCTCTGACTGGATACAAAAGTCGGGGGACAATGAGCTCTCTCCAGTTCAGGTGGTGCAGTGAAAACTTTGGGGCCCATCACCTGCATCAACATCTCCGACATGAACTTAATTGTCTTTACTGTTTTCGCTGCCTTCAGGAATGTTCAATAAACGGAGATTGGCTCTCCGCGATCGGTTCTGAGGTCATCAAGCCTGTCCAACATGGATTGGTTTTGGGTTTTGAGCGTTTTGGTGGTGGACTCTGCTACCGATAGACATTAAAAGTTTTCACCTGCTACAGATTCCACAGAGTTGAGTCGGTTCTGAAAAGAGTTCACTGTTGTCTGTGGGGAGTCCAGCGAGGCCTGGAGTGGTTTAATGGACTCTTGGATCAGGAAAGAAACATCCTCCCTTAGTGTGATCCTCTGTTTTGCAAATTTTGCAGACAGTTGGTCCATGGAAGATGAGGTAAATGGAGCTGAGCAGTTGCTTGGTCAGCCATTTTTTTTTATATTGAAAAAAAAAAGACTTAATTTACCCAGAATTCATTATACCAAAAACCTGTCTTAAGATAGTCAAGAACTAAACTGCCCTGAACATCTTCCCTAACCCTAACCAGTTCTCTCTGCTTCCTTCTGGGCCTGAATCTAATGTTCACTCTTCCTGCAGCAGCCTTGGGGCGGAGTCAGGTTGTCAGAGATATTCAGCTCAACTGAGGCCTGGACTACGGAGCATGATTTGAGGTTATCAAGGTAACTACAGGATTAGATTTTCAGTCCTACCACGGTGGTTCACTTAAATCACCATGGGAATTTACGCTGAACTCCTAATCTGCTCCAATGCAGGTTAACTTCAAGGATCAAATCAAAACCTCTCAACAGCCAAACTACTGACCAATCAGATACCTGGAAAAACTGAGTCATCATTTATACAGGATGCTCTTACTCTTCTTCCATGACCACAGCTCAGAATAACATGAGGAGACTCTGTGACGATAACTGGAAATAAAAACTAAACCTCTGATGCCTTTGATTAGAACAATGATCCACACACTGTTGTGGGCTGTTCATCCACTTATTTACAAGATATCCTTAATCTGACATTAATACTAATCATATTCAGAAATATTTCTTTTTATTTTAGTCATGTGATCATATTGTTTACATTTCACCTTGTTGAATATCACTTTTGGACATGATTGAACTCAAACTTACCGGCAAGTATCATCGTATTTTCACATATCATATTAAGAACTTCATTCATGGTTCTGACAGTCTTGCTCATAATTAACAACTCCACCTCTTATACATGAACACGCTCTTAGCCAGACAGGTAAACCCAGGGTTAACTGAGCCAGGTGATAACCTGCTTCGTCGTACAGGTTATCAGGACGGTCAATGTTAGGTTCAATTAAGCTTAGGTTAAAAAAAGTTATCCTGGGTATATTGAACTTGCTTCGTAGTACAGGCCTCTGGACTGACTGGCCTTTCTAAGCTGGTGGCAGTCACTCTCTGTCTTCTCCTTTTGGTTTTGTTGTGTTTAGTTTGTCTTTAGTTTAATTTCTCTTCTAGTGCCCAGTAAATTGTTTTTAGTCTCCTCTCCATTGTCCAGTCTCCAGGTTATGACACTATACTTTGAAACAGTGAGAATAGATGTGGATTTTTTAAGTGTTTACTTTTTTTTTTTTTTACCTCTACCAAGGAGATTATGTTTTCATCTGTGTTTGTTTGTTTATTTGTCAGCAGGATTATACAAAATGTATTGAACAGATTTGCACCAAACCTGGTGGAGGGATAGGCCATGGACCAAGGAAGACCCATTAAATTTTGGTGCAGATCCGGTTCTGATCTGAGGGGCAGGGTTCCAGAATCCAAGAATTTTTTCATTTTTTAAATTTATGACTGCGAGATTGGGCACTTTTCAACACATTTATCAATTTCCTAGGAATTAATGTCTGGATGTTTTTGTAAAATTATGGTGTTGAGATTCATGAGTTTGTATAATTTGCAGATCAAGATAATAAACCGAATCTGGGGGGCAGAAGATGTTTGGCCAGAGGTATGTGCTGTACTCAGTGTCATTCTAGTCTAGGATATGGATGTCTTTTTAAAGCAATATACTGCATCTATGCAAACATGTGCTATACAAATGGAGTTGTTATTATTAGCAATAAAAAAGTGTTTCCATATATGTTAATAAGAATTAGTAATATATAGGATAGTATTAAAAATATATTTTGGATGTTACGCCGTTTTTGTTGGTAGGTGCAGTTTTTATAACTGCATTGATCTGTGCTTTGTCATAAATAATGGTCACTATTATATGCTGTTAAATAGGCCCAACATGAACTGAAGTTAACATGCATGTACTGGTACATTTAACATCGCAACTCTGTCTACAAACGTTGAAAATGCCCGGCGTCCCTCTGCAAGGCTTCATTAATTTTCCCACAATGCAATGCGCATCTGTCATGGCTGCTCACTGATGCCACTTAAACCACATGGGTGAAAATAAACATTTAATCTGTGACTGAGAAGCAGTGACTTGGCGCATTACTACAGCGGTGAATCTTCGGCTCTGGTCCGGGACCGTCCTGACAGAAGGAGGCAGCTCCTATTACACTTTAGCAGGAACCAGATCTGTTAAGTGATGCCGCTGGACGTGGAGATCCCCGTTCTCCGAGGCTTTTTAACACCCAGCGAGGCAACGCAATGGAAGCAGAGTGTCTTCAGTACTGCAGGTGAGACACCGGGGTGTGTTTTTATTTTATATACCGTCATGAGCAAAGCAGGTTTTGTCATCTGATGGGCGCTGCACAGATCGATACACAGGCAGGTGGTGGTCGCTTACAGGGGACAGTGACATTTTCTACACAGCGGTGTAGAGGCTTTTCCCGCTGATGAAACTCACGGTAACGACACCGGTGTAGCCGTTACTGACAGTGAAAGCTGTGGCCGCAGTTAGACTACAGCTACAGTTGAAATGAATTGAATAACTGCTGTTTGCAGCGATACGTGCTGTTCTCTCCCGTGTGTGAACGTCCTGCCAAACCCCATTAAAATTTTGGCAGTTTTAAGTCGCCTCGTTTATGGGCAACAGTAGATATGTTATAAGATTATACTTGATATAGACTTTTAATTGTTGTGAGAAGCTTTGCAATTCGGCATACACACCATACACAATATAATGTTAATTAAATGTCAACTTTCGTAACATTAGAGCTAACGTAACGTTAGCTTTAGCTCGCCCGATTTTTCGTCTCTATAAATAATACCGAGGTAGAGAGCAGGGTGATAATTCACACTGAGGTTTGCTAACAGAGGAGCTAGCTACATGGAAAGTCGTTACGTAGCTGTGTCGTTTGCTGATGAGCTGACAAGTAACATCAGTGGAGTCCGCCCTCATCATGTTGAGCCGTTCACATCTGTCACAAACCGCTGGTTATACAATGGAATCGAACACTGAGCACAGTTAAAGTTAAATAGCACAGTGGTAGTCACCTAAATTGTACAACATTAACCATGCACTGTTTACTAAGTGTCACCTACTGGCAGTCTTTCTTCTTGTCTGTCAGTTAAAAGTCTAGTAAGCCATGTTGATATTTTAACTTAACAAAAAAACAAAACCCCTCCATGCAGTGCTCCTTTCGAAGCTCCGCCCCCCACATGCACGAAGGCTCATTGCCAAGGAAACAACAGTGTTTCATACAACGTGGAAGTGAATGCTCATTCTCATAGCTGATGCAAAACCTTATAATACATATTATACCGTACTACTACTTAGTTCAATACTGTGATACATACAACATTTTGGACAAACTTTAGCTACTTTCCATGGAAGAGACTAGCCACACATATGCAAATCTAATATTTGTACATATATATATATATATGTACTCTGCCTTCCACCCACAGTCCAAAGTCATGCAGGTTAATTGGTGACTCCAGATGCCTATGTAAATGTGAGCATGAATGGTGGATTGTTTCTATATGTCAACCCTGTAATAGACTGTCCAGGGTGTTGAACCCTAATAAAAGAATGGATCCTGCATTAAAGTGCCAAATCTCAGCTTTAATTTGAGTTGGGGGTTATTTGGGGGGTATTTCTGTTAAAACAAGAAACTGAGAGCAGCACAGTGGTGAAGTGAGACGACTGTGTGGTTGTACTGATTGAGTTCATTCCTGCTTTCATTTGAGAATTTACTTTAATAATTAAAATTGAGATCACAGGTTATGTTAAGTTAAATACACTTTATATTTATTTGTCAATTTCCTCACAGGAAGCTCATCATGAATTATTGTCATCATATCAAACCAGAGGAAAAGCCTCTAGAATAAAATGATCACAGGTCAATAAAACTAAGAATTAAAGGTGGCCTAATGAATTGATTCAGGTGTAATGCAACTCAAGGCTGTGTGAACCGCCCCACCCATTCAGTGGAGGCAGAACCCACCAGACTGTAATCATGTGCAGTTCAGTTCTAGCTAGTTCTAGCTTGTGCACAGTGAATATATTGTCTGTCTGAGATACACCTGGTCGGTCATCTTCGCTTCTCAGCCCTGTTCGCGTCTGCAAATTCTGTTCACCATTTCCTTATTAACTGCAGCTCATTGCCTGAACCTCTACAACTTATGGACTAATTTGAGGCCCTCTGCCTTGTTTTCCATAATTGCTGCCATTTCATGGGCAGACCTGAAGGGTAGCTGAAATGCCATTAGACATGTGGCCATAGCTCAGACTTTGATTTTCCCCCTCATAAAGCCAGAGCCCTCCTCTTCTCCTCGGCCACTCCCTCCCTTCTTTCTGTGCTGTTATGGCCGCCCCTGGGTTTCATTAGATCAGAGTGAGATGAAATCTCCACACCTCCTTTACAACACTATTTGCACTGCAATTACTTATTGAAGCCATGGGTACAGTTAAGAGATCATGTGACTGACCTGAAGGTGAGAATTAGGGTTGTCGTAGTAGCAGCTGTTACTGGAGTTACACAGTGTTCAGGCTCTCACCGATTGCATAACTTACCCACTGGTCCTATCGTCTTTTTTAAATTTTTTATAGACATGAAAACCAATTTGTCTCATGCAGCACCCATATTCATCAAATAAAAAACGTACTTGTAAAATGCTAGTTATCAATACTTAGTTGGATGCTGTAATTATAAACTGAATGTGTCTGCTCTGAGCAGCAGCAGAGCAGAGTCAGATCACAGAGTGACAGAGTGACAGAGTCAGATCACATGACGATCCGACAGTTGACTGGTGAAGGATTTGATATCAAAGCGAAAAGCAAAAGTCCCTCCCTGGCAATATTTCAGAATTATACGATACCAGAAGGGAGCTTGATAACATTTATCTGAAAACTGAGCTAGGACCGCCTGCCTAATTTTATATACAGACACAGAAATAGATAAATAAATGAATAGATATATAATAATTAAATTAATGCTGAAATTCATAAATAAATAAATTTAGAAATGCAGAAATGGCATTTTTCATAACCAAATTGCATTTAATTTGCATACACTTATGTGTGTAATTATGTGTATGTAATTATTTATTTATAAGTTTAATTATAAGTATAAAGATATATACGTATATATACGTATCTAATTATATATACGTATCTAATCTAATTATTATTGTTTATTTATTATTAACTGTTAACTTATTATTATTATTATTGTTATCAACAATGAGCTAATGGACACATGAATTTCCCCTTGGGGATAAATAAGGTATCTATCTATCTATCATAAATTTTCATTGTGTTGCATTAGAAACAACCCAGGACAGAAGTGAGGAGGCTGTGGTGTTCACAGGTTATTTTACAACCTTGTTTATGCAAGGTAGCATTACCTGGAAATCATCATGTGCTCACTTTTGTTGCATTGAGATGAGTTGGGGCCTGTGTTTTCAATGTAGTGTATCTCAATTGATGGTTTTGAATTCTACCTGAGATCAAATGCCCTATATTTCAACTTCAAGATAATACAATTAGTGCAAGATTTTACAATTTTGAATGATTTAACATTTTAGTGATGTTGCACATAGTGATGTTGAATGTACTCAGTTTTGTTATATACTCTATAGCAGTGGTTCCCAACCTTTTCCAACTCATGGCTCACTTGAAAATCTCAAAAATTTTGGCCAACATCCAACCCCGAGCAATACAAATGCCAAGCACTTTTTATTTTAATGATTGAACATTCAGGATTGAACTGAAAGCAGAAGAACATCAATTTCTCTTTTTTGTTTGATGGGGGAGAGATCACTTGTCAATTCCTGTCTGTCTCTGACTCTCTTTCCTTTTAATTCTTCCTGTTGCTAACGAGCTATCCATTTTGATCCTCCAGTTTTTGCCATGAATATCATCTTTTAGCACACAATCAGGCTGAGATAGTAAACAAGTATATGTTGTGCAACATAAAAGTTCCTATCATTGTGAGAGGACTTAATTTGAGATATAATCTTTTTGAAGATCATTTAATTTTAAAACATTTAAAAACCTTATTTACACACACATATATAGATCTATATATATATAGATCTATATATGTGTATGTATGTATTTTTTTTTTAATTAGGTCTTTTCACCAAAATTGTACTGTTTTGTTAATGACTTGTGGCCACTTGCAATACTTTTGCGGCCCACAGATTGGGATCACTGGTCTATAATTCAACATCTACTGTACAGCACAAAACTGGCACAACATTTTGTATTGACGTTCATGGTCCCCAGACGATGAACTCTAAGCACTTTGTTGATCCACTGACTTTTTCTCTAACGCCACCATTAGTGCTAATTAGCAAATGTTAGCATGCTAACTCACTAACTAATATTGTGAGCATGCTGCACATTGACATGCTATCATTATTATTGTGGTCATGTTAGCATGCTGATTCAGCATTTAGTTCAGACTAACTGGTCGTGACTAGCTTTAAAGGTGTCTCAGTCAAAGTGATGAACCCACAGATAATTACTTTATTTTGTAATTTGAATATGAAACCCAGGGAGATGAGTTTAAACAAGACAAAAATATGATTACAGCTCATTAACTGTATGTAGTGTTGCAAATGAAGTTCTCAACACAGCAAGAATTAACCTGTCAGTTTGTAGAGTTGAGTTTGAAGGTTAGAAGATTAGACATTGTAGTTTAACAGGAAGGAGGAAGTCCACTTACTGAAAGATCTAAAGAGTTTTGGTCACTTGTCATGGAGATGGTTCAGTTATCATCACGTTACCTAAGTATTGAGCCTCGGTCACACGATAACAAGCAGTCGTATATGGGGGAGAGATCCACTATTGTTCAAAGATGGTCTGTGGTGTCGGAGTTGATCTTCTCCACTGATTCCTCCTCCATGACCTTTGACCCTTCCTAGATTATCATGGCATGGTAACTAATTACACAAAATCACTTAAATAGTGTTTTTATGAAGGAGAACTTTATTGGGGCTGGGGCTACGCACCGCTATGATCGATTATGTAAATAAGTCGATTTACGTAACCTGCGTCGACGCGTTGCAAGGAGGAAGTAAGATGGCTGCGCCTAGTCAGAGCATGGACTCCACCGAAGAGCAAGCTGAAGCGAAAAAATCTTGCCCACAATCACAATTTTAAGCAGACACCGAGCAACATGGTACTCTGCAAGCTCTGCAAATTAGAAATGACTTATCACAGCAGTACTACTGTCATGCTGAAGCACTTGAAGCGGAAGCATCCCGGGGCAGGATTCATTTTGCTGTTGGATTGCTAAATGTAGATTTCACTACATTGCTTTTACTTGAATGGAACAAGCTCTTGCATTAATTTTATTTTGGAGACTTTATATCGCACTGTAAAACACAGATTACCAGTTAAGACTGGGCTATTTTTTGTTGGAGAATAATGCCCTGCAGTGCAGGGCTTTCTTTGTCATATTTGTTTTAAAGAGAAGATGATTGAATAAAATATTGAAATATAAATGACAAATTCTTCAAATTTATTTTGGGTAAATTTGTTGTTATATTAATCGAGTAATAGAAAAATAGATTAATTGAAAAAATTATCGATAGATTAATTGATCAAAGAATGTATAGGTTAATCGATAAACAAATAATTGCTGGGTGCAGCCCTAAACTTTATAAAATTGGCCAAACTTAGCAAATTATGTTTTTGAAGTTTGATGATGGTTCCATTTAATTGGTATTTGATCCTTTTAAGGTTTTATTTGTATAATAACATAAGATTGATTATTGATTGGGAGCCCTGGCCCCAGATGATAGGGATGTATGTGGTAAAATCATGACATGCACATACGTTTGTGCTGCTTTCAATAGATGTATGGTCTTGTTAAATTTGTTTTGATTGTCTTGGAACAATTTCTAATATAGTTATAATATTAATTATATAATATATACATATATAATATTATAATAAAATTAAATTAAGTGTGGGCATCAAGCTTAATGTCCATATGAATGAATGAGATCTAGACATTTAAATTATTCAATTTTCTTTTGACCATTATCTGTTGTAAATGTATCCAACATTTTTTCTTTAATGAAAATCACACAAACTGTGTTGGTAGAATTAGTCACTGGGAGACTCTGACCAGCTGGCTTGTTAAAAGCTCTGCAGCTTCTGAGCTTTTGTTGTTGCATAAATGACAGTGTCATCTGCAAAAATCTGACACCCAACCTCTGAACAGCTTTCAGGTCAGATCATTTCTATACAAGCAGAGGAGTAAAGGGCCCAATATTCATCACACTGACAGTCAGATACAATCGCAGTCAGGTCTTCAGTGTCGTAAATATTTTATATCTCACTCTGAGTTAAAAACATGTATTAAAAACACAGCACCAACATTACAGTGGCTTTGCACTGGGATCTATTTATTGAAATCCACATTTTTCTGAGTCGGCCTAAACTATTTTCAATCAATTTTTATTTGATGCAATGCACAAAATTCTCTAACATTTAGATTTTCAGGCATCTCTGTGCACTTATATGTTGACACTGTGTTTAATGGCATTGTTGTCCTGTGGTTACATAACCTAAATGAGTATGTTAATACTGCTGCTTCATGTTCCAGAGGCAGGCTCTCTGCTGGAGTCCTTGATGGAGGGGGACTTTGAGGCAGTTCTGCTGAACCCCAAGGTATTAGACCTGCTCACTGGAGATGGCAGCTGCAGCGAGGGGGAGGAGATTGAGGCATATCTGGAGAGACGGGTCCTACTGTATCTAACTGGAGGCACCAGCGATGACCAGACCAACAGGTAGGACTGCTGGACGTCAGACGTCAGATGAAAAAGATGATTCTTTTAAATTTCTTTACATGAATCCTTCAAACTGGAAGTCGGTTGCAGTCCTTTAGTCATTGTGATGATCTGTTCATGAAACAGAGCTGAAACCTGATTTTTTTTCTTTAACATGCATCAACCTAAATGATCAAATGTTCATAAGTCGAGCATGAAGGGGCTTTTTTCCTGTGCAAGTGTACATGGTAATCATTACAGTGGCAAGTTTCTGTAGCCTATATACTACAAGACACTCTGCACTGTGGTTTAAAGAAGGATTAAACACCTGGAAAGTTTTCACTGCAGCAATTATTTCCTCTTTCATCATGATGACAGTAAGGTTAACAGTAAAAACATGCTGTTAATTTTACAAGGTAATCTACCAGGTATGTGCACTTGCACGTTTTTCATTGGCCCATGCTGTGTGAGTTTAGGCAGGTTCAACTTCTTTTTAGTTTAACTGGAGCCTCTGCTGGATTAGCCTCATTTAAATGAATGAGAGGCCTGTGTGTGTGTTTTTTTTATTTTTTTTTTTTATTGTTTACTGAACATGGTCTACCAGCAGCCTGAGACCAAACACAACCAGGGCTGCAGACTTTAAACATCAACACACTTCAGCTTCCAAGTAAATGTCTCCTTATGTAGCTTCTGTACATGTGGTAGAACAGGTGATTGGCAGAATGAATGTGCAGCTGAGAAATCTGAAATGATATGATGCAGTCATGTCAACATGGAGCAGAGTCTCAGAGGAAATTTTCAACATCTGATTAATCCATGAGATGAAGAACTGAGGAACAACCCAGAGTTAGTGTGGTGTTCCTAATAAAATGCAATCTTGTCATTACCTTGCTGAACAAGCTTGCACTCCTACATTCACTGGGGAAAACTGAGCTGCCAGTGTCGGTGTGCAAGAAAGGTTGCTAGGTAGTTGTAGTACTGAACCTCATTTCAGTAAATGTTGTGGTTCTTGTTGATACCAATGCTAACAAATCCCTGTTGTCTGGCACTGTTAAGCTCCACTTATTCACACAGGTTAACATTACATTGTTTCCAATATCTTTCTCTTAATAAGAATAATAATAAACAGGTACATACGCACTTAATTGGGAGTGAATTGAACTGAACCCACTAATTAAAGTCTCCAAACTGACATGATGGTGTGTTTGATGGTGGACGTATTTGAGCGATCCACAGAGTTGTTCTCAGGAATGTCTTCGTTCTCCTCTCACTGCCTCTATTGCTTTGGTCATGAATTATTCATTTTTAATAAGGTAAGCTGAGCATCTCTCCTCTTGCTCCGAGGGGAGGTCTCTCTGTGAGTATGTGTTGAATGCAGTGCTTATTGCTCCTCCTCTCCCTTCATCACACGTCCATCTCCTCTTTTCTATCACCCTTTGTTATTTTCTTAGTCTGATAAAAACAACTTTACTTACCCCAAAGAGTGAGGTGGCAGTTAAAAAAGAAACTTATGTGACCTAAGTCAAAATCAGAGACAATTTTTTTTTTTTTCAATTCTGTAAACCTCAAACTATCTGAAGCTTTCATCCCTTCTCTCCACTGTTTTCTCTGTGTCCTTCCTGCTACAGGGAGCTGGCTGTAATGGCCCTGGCTGTCGCTTGCCTCCACATGTTTGTCCAGAGTAACTGGACTGGTCCTCCAGTGTCCAGCCATGTCTCTGACCTGTTGCCCCCGGCCCTGCTCGCCTCTCAGGTAGGAAACCGTCTCAGTGATTTTATATTGGCTGGTTTACTTAAAAGTTAAGCTAACGTAGGATAAGTTTTGTCACTGTAAATTAGATCCGTTTTCACTTTGTATTGTGTTGTTTATAGATTGATGGGGCTTAAATGAATTTAAATTATTTTACCATAAGACCGCAACATAACAAATTGTGAAAAGTGAATGGGTCTGAATACTTTGTGATTGCACTGTACAGTTGTAACTTTAAGCAACAGCAAACCTATTTTAAAGAAGAAGCTATTGTTTTTTAGCTGTGTTGTGTCGCCCATTTCTATGTAACCTTGTTCTGTTGCTGCATAAACTAGCCAACTAGCTAGCTAGATGGGCTAGCTAGGCAGTGGGCAATAAGGGCTATGCTAAATTGTGCTTGTTTGAAATGGTGGCACTGCTAAAAAATGTTTAGCATGCCAGCTGCTTTTCACAATAAGAACTATGGTAAAGTTACTTTTCTGGCTTACTAACTTTTCCTAAATAGCCAGCTAGCTAGGTAGCTTTTCCTAACTAGCCAGCCACCTAGCTAGGTAGCTTTACCTAACTTGCCAGCCACCTAACTAGCCAGCTAGCTAGGTACATATCTTTACCATAGTTCTTATTGTGAAAAGCAGCTCACGTGCAAAACATTTTTTAGCTACTAAAATAGCTGGCGTTTAAAACGGTGGCAATGTAGCATCCTCTTAGCCACTAAATAAATAAATACTAGGAACTAATATAAGTTGATTATAATTTGAAATTATATAAATGTGTTTCCTACGTTACGTTTACTGATTGCATAGTTGATCATACTGGAAACATCGTCTAATATTGAAAAATGGGCTTTGCTGAGTGTGACAAAGCTTAATTTTACGTTGGTGTGTAAAGTGAATGGAGTCAGAGAAGGAGCAGAAGGAGCTCCAGGCTCGGTGCAGGAGAAGTGCCCCTTAATGAAGCATCTCTGGGGTCCTAATTACACCGGGCTGAGAAGATTGCTTCCTCTTGGCAGCGTGCTGCTGAGAGCAGAATACTGTGTTTCACACTGCCATTACACCAGAGGAGAGAACCATTTCTTTTATCGAAGCAATTCCTTTGGCCTCAATGATTGATCTGTGCTGTCACACCAAGGAGCCTGCGTTAGAGAGCAGCTCGTCTGCACATGCACGACAGAAGGCAGAGAGGAATCATGGAGCAGCTGTTATGTTAATTTAATTCAACAAGGAACGAGAGAAAAAGTTAAATGTACTTGAATCTAATTCATGTGGAATTTCTCCAAATGAAGTGACAGCTGATCAGACCAAAGTTAAATCATCACCATGGGGAGAGTAGCTCAGCATATATAAACTATATTGTAGGAAGTGAGGTCATAAACATTAAATCAGCAAATTCATCACCAGAATCTAAGACAGGAATCTGCCATTGTAATAAATGAACGATGAGTGCAGTGGTGAAACATTGGAGGTTGAGTTTTACTTTGAATTAACAGTGTTTTAAAGCTAATCAATATTTCACGAATCAGACTATTATATAAACTACTGTTTTTCTCCCATGTTTGACAATTGTTCAGATTAACAGCCCCATTTTGCAGTTACAGCACTGGTCCACAGGGAGACTTGAATGTACATTTTGAATGGAATAACTTGAGATGGTGAGAACTGGAAAATAGGGTTGAAAATGATTATCCTTTAGATCCTTCAGGTCTTCATTCTAATTTAAAGCTGGTCTAATCTCAGATATATTCATCTGTCAATTAAATGTAATTTGCATTTGACTGGCAGCCCCAAAGCTTGGTTGAGGCGATCCACTCCAGCCTCCTCCTGGATGGGGAGTCAGTGTACAGCCTGGTGGCCAACCCCTTCCTCCTCCTGCTGGCTGGCATCATTCTCACCAAGTGCTCCTCCAAGATGGACAGCCTCCAGGTAAGAACACCTTTCTATCTCAACCATCTTTTCTTGATGAATAATATTTACTGATGATTTTTATGTCTCCTCACCGGTGACACATCACAGTAACACCTTGACGGAACCTCCTCAAATTTGGCACAAATGTTCACTTGAACTAAAGGATGAACTGATTAGATTTTGGTGGTCAAGGTCAGTGTGACCTCACAAAACCTTTTTATCCATTACTCAAGACTTCACAGTAATTATGACAAAATCTCACACAAATGGTTCATATTTTCTATGATTCTGGATAAACAGGGAGGTACCCTGAAACTAGGCTAAGTGGAGGTGGCAGACAACCACCAGGAGGTGATTCTAGCTTTAAATGGTAATTCAGCTCTATAAGAGCAATTCACCATGTAGAATGCTTACAATATCTGTTTAGTCCTCTGTACTGTACAGACAGTAGTAGCTTCACAGTCGCTTCACTGGCATTTCACCAGGCCAGCCCAGGTCAAGGACTCTGTGGCTGTTAGCAAGGCTGTATATTGTATAATATTTGCCCTACTATGGCTGCATAGTATAGACTGTACATAAGACTTTTTTTCAATACAAAGTACTTCAAGTTTATGTTTATCCAAGTAAAGAGCCACAAGAGCAGTAAATAATCAAATGAACTGTTGATCCCAGGATGACCATGGATATCAGTGTTCACATCTCCAGAAATGTTGCAGCCAGTTTTCAAGTAGACGAACTAACTACGAATTAAAAATCCTGGACTTGAATTTGGACGGTAGCAGGGTGTGATGGGAGGTGAAACAGGCTTGAATCTCAACCACAGGGGGCAGCAAAGCAGTTATGCTTTAACAAGTCCACAAGAGCACAGATGCAGGCTAACTGCTAACGGCTAACCTTGCCATAGAGGCTCATTGTGTCTTAATAAGTTTCCAGCAGACTTGATGCTGGGAGGTATCTTGCTTATTCAAACAGAGACTCTTAACGAGCTCAGTTTCTTGGCTTTTCCTGCTCATTTACTGTCTGTTTTCAACCAGTTACATTCATGTAAACAACCAAAACCAAAATAAGTAACAGAAACTGTAAAAAAAAGAACTGTAAAAGCTGTTGTTCTGCTCTGACATCACCAGTTTGTGCAACAATTAGGCTACTTTTCTGCTGTAAAGACTCAATTTGCTCTTTAAATACTAATGAGGGAGAGGGAAGTAATTAGCAGCGCTGTTTTCCACCAGGCAGTGGGGACATGGACTGTAGACTGTGCGACATATGAGTGTGCTGACATGATGAATGTACGTGAAAGTGTTCAGCTAGAGCACATGTGTTGGAGGGTGTTGATTCGCTGAGACAGACAATTAAACCTCCATGTAACCTCAATGTTTATTTATGAAACTTACACATATTAGCTGTCAAGCCTCTAATCTGACATTAGCCATGCACTTTCCCTTCTTTAGCGATTGTTTGGTGGCTTGTTCACCAAGGACAAGACGTATGTTCACATTCCCAGTGGATAAGGAGCAGACTTCAGCAGGAAAACTAATCTGGGTTGTTGTTCAGAGTCTGTGGCACTTGTTTAGCACCCTCTGGCTCAGTGTTGACCATCTACTCTGCTGTGATAAAACTCTGATCTTACTGTTTTATGCAAGGTTTGATTGGGTGCATCACCTAATATTATTTTGGTTACTTAAGGCAAAACTAGTGGGCACAATCACCTTTTTAACTTGTTAACCATATGATTGGAGGATGCAACTGTGTTAACTCAGTTCTCCAGTTTGAATCATGATGGAACAGTAACCTGGTTATTCATCTGTAATTCTTGCACAGCCGTTGGAGCAAATGAATTGCAGCGCTCAGTTTTTAAACAATGTAAGGGGTGTATGCTCGTAGATCGGGCATCAAGTCCGTCTCCTTCTTTGTGCTTCTTCAGCCGACGGCGCCCTCTGCGACCCCACCTGCCTAAAAACTGCCCCACAAACAAATTCTAACTTTAACCTTCGACACATACAGTGGGGAGAACAAGTATTTGATACACTGCTGATTTTGCAGGTTTTCCCACTTTCAAAGCATGTAGAAGTCTGTAATTTTTATCATAGGTTCTCTTCAACTGTGGGTGATGGAATCTAAAACAAAAATCCAGAAAATCACATTGGATGATTTTTAAGTAATTAATTTGCATTTTATTTCATGACATAAGTATTTGATACATCACAAAAACAGAACTTAATATTTGGTACAGAAACCTTTGTTTGCAATTACAGAGATCAGACATTTCCTGTAGTTCTTGACCAGGTTTGCACACACTGCAGCAGGGATTTTGGCCCACTCCTCCATACAGATCTTCTCCAGATCCTTCAGGTTTCGGGGCTGTCGCTGGGCAATACGGACTTTCAGCTCCCTCTAAAGATTTTCTATTGGTTCAGGTCTGGAGACTGGCTAGGCCACTCCAGGACCTTGAGATGCTTCTTACAGAGCCACTCTTTAGTTGCCCTGGCTGTGTGTTTCGGTCCGTTGTCATGCTGGAAGACCCAGCCACGACCCATCTTCAATGCTCTTACTGAGGGAAGGAGGTTGATACATCTTAAAGAAGAACTAACAGGTCTGTGAGAGCCAGAATTCTTAGTGGTTGGTAGGTGATCAAATACTTATGTCATGCAATAAAATGCAAATTAATTATTTAAAAATCATACAATGTGATTTTCTGGATTTTTGTTTTAGATTCCATCACTCACAGTTGAAGAGTACCTATGATAAAAATGACAGACCTCTACATGCTTTGAAAGTGGGAAAACCTGCAAAATCGGCAGTGTATCAAATACTTGTTCTCCCCACTGTATATATGTTACACAGTACAAAGTGTACACTTTGGTAATGTAATGCTACACTGATGCACCCATTGTACACTATAAGAATATGCATTCTGTCAATTTGTTGAAAATCTAATAAAAAGATCGTTTTACCCTTAAATAAAGTGCTTAGATGATCTGACATAACTCTTTACAACCTGTTTGATTTTTCTGACTCTTTCTTTACCTGTTGGGTCCCTTGTCTTATTCTCACATATTCTCATTTGTCTCTTCTGTTGCTGTTGTTTTTCATACGTCTGTGTAGCTGCTGCCCTGGTGGACCCTGCGCTACATCAACCTGCATCAGCAGATCCTGGAGGCTCGTTCTCCTCAGCTCCTCAGCCTGGCCCACAGCAGCATGGAAAAAGGTCTGTCACTGGACTGTGTTTGGTGTGGGTTTGTTTTTCATCGTGTGTACCAGGCCCAGCAGCCTCAGGATTATTAGGCTCATTTTACTCACTCACTCACAAACAGTAGCCTGTTTCAGTTCTGGTGCTGTTGTTTCTGCAGTAAAGAATGTGATAGCCTGGTGTTTTATACCCAGCTCTGATTGGACAATCAGCTGTTCCACATCTGTTTAGAGCTTTTACAGAGTTGAGTTGAGTTGAGGTGAGTTGAGTTGAATTTCCTGAGTCCACACCCCAAAGATTTTCAGTTTGCACTCAGACATGTCAAAGAAAAGCAGCAAATCATCACACCGGAGGACCAGTGAATATTTACATTTTTTATTTGAAAAATGACTAAAACAATTGACTGAATATTAAAGTAGTGGTCAGTCGACTAATCAGATCAATTAACTAATCACTGCAGCTCTAGTAACTCATCTGGTTTGTTTATTAGACTTCATTTCAGTGAGAGGTACTGACCGTAGCTGTGACATGCCGTCAGGGCAAACAGTGCTTAACAGTTAAAACAAAAAATAGAACAATACCGAAGTGGAAGAGACGTCTCATGAGAGCAGAGTTCTGTTCCATGAAGGATTTAATGCCTGTTTGCAATTATAATGTGCCATCTTCCCTCTTGTGGTGGCAGCTGGGTATTGTCTCTGAAAGCTAGCTGGACTTCCAGCCGTTGTATCTAGATTTTCTGTCATTTTTGTGGGTGTGACTCCTAGACTGTAAATAAAGATAGACTTGGCCTCTGTGACGTCATCCACAGGTTTCAGAGGATTGATTTTGAAGCTCAGAATGAGCTGCTCCACTGTCACTTTACAGCTTTGCAGGCTGTAAACATCTTTATTTCTGCTGTAAAGTTGGACATTTTAACATGGGAGTCTATGGAGACCGACTCACTGTTGGAGCCAGACTCTAGTGGCCATTAGAGGAACTGCAGGTTTTGGTTCTTCAGTGTTGCCACCATGTTTCAGCCTTGGAGATTGATGATTGCTCAAACCTTGCTTACTGTCTCACCTCTGTACAACTAGCCAGAGATGTGTGTGAAATCTGGATTATCAGTTTCAGACAGTTACGAAAAAGGTTGTTGGGAAGATGTGGGGGGAAGGGCAGTGTTGCACGATCTTATCCACAGTCCGATTGTCCAATAGTCACCCTGTGAAATTGCCAATAAGTTGGTTACATTATGTTACGTTACGTTACCAACCAAACAAGTGTGTCTGATTTTGCTTGCCTCGCTCTCTCATGGATAACCTGAGTAATGACTCCCATAAAATGTATGTGTCATCTTAGTATGTTAAAACAAAATTGTCATCACAAATAATGTATCTCTCTCATTCACTGAGAGACTGAACTAAATGACATGTTCTGTCCGTCAGTCTCCTAGCTCCTACACACAATAAGCAGCTTCATTACAGTCAGCTTATCGAAGTGTGTGTGTGTGTGTTGCAATTATGGTTGTATATGTGAAACTGTGGCAGACAAATTAAATTCAATATTAATTTATTAATATAAATAATAAATTACTAGATTAATGGGAAAACAAGTCAAATATTGTCTGCAAAGGCATGAGTAATTTTCAATCATTCTGATGATTGTCAATTACCGATATCATCGTCCATTGGCACAACCCTACAGAGGGGCTTTCTTAAGAGAAACAGTCGTACTGAGGATCAACAGGACGCACAAGAAGTGCATTTTGTATTTTTCAGCTGCCATTTCACAACCATTTCATTTCAAGTGGCTCTGACTGTTCTGACATTGTGTTGTTACACAGCTGGAGCTGTGGGAGACTAGATTATTAAAAATAACAACTGTTGAGCGAGGAGCTGTACAGATGATGATTACAGTCAGATTAAAAGCTGCTTGGATACAATCGTGACTCAAACAGCTTGTAATATAAACCTGCTGTAAGTTCTGAGAGGAACATGACCATTCAACATTAAAAACACGGGCTTAGAAAAGGACCAGGCATCAACTTCCTCATTCAGCACCCTCCCTGGGAACTGAGAATACTCACGCACTCACCACTGCTAACCTAAAGAACAAAGGCCTTGAGGTGACACATTAAAGAGACAAAAAGCACAGAGGTGATGATGGAGGAGGATGAAAGTTTTGTATCTGAGCTGCTCGGCTCCTTCTCTTTCATTCCATCTGATCTGATTATTAACTTGGCCTTGATCAAGCATCTGTTATGGAGACAGAGATTATCCTCAGCTGAGATCAGTAGGAGAAAAGCAGCAGAGAGCTGGTGTATAATTCATGATCAGAAGTCACACACTTTCATACCCATTCAACATTAATGAAGCGACACTGATGCTGACGGCGTCCAGAGTGAACGAGGAGAGAGAGATTTACAGTAACGAGAAAACGACTCTCTGGCTGTGATGATCGGTTTTAAGGTGATCGTGACTAGAAGCATTAATGCCGATCTACTGATCACATATTTTTAATGAAACTCGACCAATCATAACCGGCGGCCGATCAATCAGGACATCCCTACGAGCAGCATGAATCAGTCAGTTCACCACTTCGGTCCAGAATAATGCATCAGATGGATTATCATGACATTTTGCACAAACATCCTCAGAAGAAAAATCCTTGTGACTGGTGCTCACCAGTTTTGAGTGACATGTCTCAACAACTAGTGGATGGATTGCCATGAAATCCTGTACAGAGTCACATCCCTCTCAGGATGAACTGTTATCACTTTGATGATCCCTAAAGGGGACTCCAGTTATTTTACACATCAAAGTATGTTTACAGGTCTTAGGGAGGACATATGTCGGGAGACTCCGTACTCCCGACATATGTTGAGTACTCTTGACTTTTCACCTTGCACTTTTATCTCACGCTGTGCTTCCCCCTGATGCTCGCCTCACACTTTGAAAACCGCTGCTGTAGACTATGGACTTAGAGTCTTAGACTTGTGCAAATAACGTGTATGGACGTGACAGACCATTCTCGTGTGGGAGCAGTTGCGTGAGCACAAGGCTGTAACGAGTGCTCCTTTCTGTATCCGCATGACATATACTGTATTTTGTCATCAGAGGTTGTACACGTGGCTCAATCTTTCAGTCACTATGCAGAGCTCATGACCTTAGGTGAGGTTCAGAAGGTAGATTGACTAGGAAATCAAGACCTTTGCATTCAGACTCCCTCTACAACAGTCCGGTACAACACCCGCTTCACTGCTGACGCTGCATCCATCCTTCTGTCAATCTCCCGCTCCATCCCACCCTCACTTGTAGCTCCACTCGACTTGGGCAGTCTTTTCATTTAATAGTTAAATTATAAACCTGAAGTATGTAAATTACAAAGTGAAGCTTTGTGTCAACCATTCATCTCTTTATAGATGAGCTAGGTGAGTCTCAGAGGTCAAAATGCACCTTTCACCACAACCGTCAAAACAGGATGCAGATACAAACAAAAGGCATTATCATGATTACATCATCCCTGAAAACTGCAAATACTGTGACAGCATAACGTGATGAGTGTTGGCCTAACAACAAGTAGTTCATTAAAGCAAGTAAAAAGATCAGGGCAAGTCAGCGTCATTCTCCTCAGAGTACTAAACTAAACAAGCCAAACTAAACCAAACTAATCCAATCTAAACTAAACTAAACTAAACATCATGGCAGTGTCTACTCAGAGTTGTGTAACATGGAGGGAAAACAGCTGTATGCATTTCACAGCGTCCTCCTCTCATCACTTGTAAAAGGATTGTGTGGCCAACTGCTCCTCTGTAATATGGATTGGGCTGTTTTGAAGCCTGCACATACAGCTCACCCTTCACACTCTGTTAACCACCACACAACACACTGCAATCCAATGAACACACCCTCCGCCTTTGAACAACAAACACATCTGGGAAGATGAATAAAAAGTGATGTTAAAATCATGTAATCGTTGGCTTTAATACACTCGTTAATACACTCCTACAGACTTGGTACTCTCGCCTTGACTCCTCTCTCCACTCTGATCCTCTCCTCCACCTTCCACTTGTGGCTGAGAACCAGGCCTTCTCTCAGTCCTGACACATTAACCTTATCTCGTCAGTAAAATGAATTCACTTTTTTTCCCGTTTTAGAAGAACTAATGATGTCTGCAGTGTTTCACCTCCGTCCTTGCGTTTCTCCTCATCGCGAGCTCTCTTTTTAAAAATATTCTGTGATTTGAGACATTTCTGCAAAAAAAATATACACGATGGGATGTAACTAGAACTTTTCAAGATACTGGGTGTGCTTGAATGTAAAAGAAATAATATTCACTTGTTTGAATAGCAGCAAAATCAGGTCGCCGCCTCCTTCCACAGGTAGCAAATCAGAGCGCATTTGTATTCTTCTTAGGCAATTTTGGATAGCTCTGCCTGATGCACTGATTACGATACAGCCGCAATTGCAGTTACAAACATCAGATCCACAGAGTACCGAGAAAACAAGTAGGCCTACAAAAATTTTCAGGAGGCAGAGGCGGCATGAAATTTGACAGAGGTGGTCGCCTCGCAATTCTCTATGCAGGTCCTCACATCACAGCTGCTGGGTGGCTTCAAAAATAAAGAAGAAACCAGCTTAGTTTTATGAAGAGGGGATTAAATCCACACACTGAGGCATAACATTAATTGCAGACTATTATTCTAGTTAAAGTAACCAATAGTTTTTGGATTAATAGCATTTCTGCAGTGCTTTGTGGCCCAATGCAACAGTTTAATAAAAGCCACAGGGAGAGTGGCACACCTTTCTCAGTAAAGTTATACTGTATGAAACTGTCTACTTCCTGCTTCATACATGAGCTCTGTGTAAACATCAAACAGCAGTACATAAATCCTGACTGTACCAGCATTCATCCACAGACATTGTTGGGTAGTTGTCATCATAGAGCCACACCACTAAAAATAATAGAAAGTGCACAGAAGAAGCACACAGCGCTATCCATCTCTCTCACCCCTCCCCTCTCTCATCCATGTGGCCCGGCTCACCAGGAATCTTCCCGTGTTCCCTGTTGATAGTTTGCATAGTTGTGAGTCAGCAATTCACAGTAATTTTAACTTTCCATAAAGTCTGTTGTAACCCGCTGTTGCCAGTAAAGCAGGACCTAGGATGTGCTTAATATTAGACTGGGCTACTATTTCAATTTTAAATGATTAGGATCCTGAATTCTTAGCTGTTAATGTGGAGCTGGCTACGTATTTTAGTCTGCAAGTATTGGTCACCTCGACATTAAACTTTGTCTCCTGCTGAGCATCAACACACAGCTCTCTTCGCGCACGTGCGTCTGCACACCTGTCCGTCTTCTGTCTCTTTCTTTCTCCCACCCTCAAAGTCATCTCTGATTGGTCAGGATTACCTCACTCAAAGTAAACTGAAAATGCATTGGCTGAAAAGCTTGGAAACTGAAAATGACAATGAAGCAAAGGATCATGGTAAATGTAGTCTTTTAGTTAAATTTACCTGTATTTTAAGGAAAACACATTCCCTTTCATTCTTATCATTTATCCCCAATTTTAAAAGGTACCTACACTGTTATAGTTACAAAGATTATTTGTTTATCGATTAATCAATTATTTTTTCGATTAATCTAACTATTATTTTTCTATTACTCGATTAGCATAACAAAAAATTTACCCAAAATAAATTTTAAAAACTTGTCATTTATATTTCAATATTTTATTCAATCATCTTCTCTTTAAAACAAATATGACAAAGAAAGCCCTGCACTGCAGGGCATTATTCTCCGACAAAAAAATAGCCCAGTCTTAACTGGTAATCTGTGTTTTACAGTGCGATATAAAGTCTCCAAAATAAAATTAATGCAAGAGCTTGTTCCATTCAAGTAAAAGGAATGTCGTGAAATCTACATTTAGCAATCCAACAGCAAATTGAATCCTGCCCCGGGATGCTTCCGCTTCAAATGCTCGAGCATGACAGTAGTACTGCTGTGATAAGTCATTTCTAATTTGCAGAGCTTGCAGAGCACCATGTTGTTCAGTCTCTGCTTAAAATACTCCCACACTTTAGATGATTGTGGGCAAGGTGTTTTCGCTTCAACTTGCTCTTCGGTGGAGTCCATGCTCTGACTGGCGCAGCCATCTTACTTCCTCCTTGCAACGCGTCGACGCAGGTTATGTAAATTGACCTATTTACGTAATTGATTATGTCGATTGCCCCAGCCCTAGTTTACATAGTTTAATCTTGTTGACTTTGCCATCATTTAAACAATAAATCACTCAGATTACTATATTAAACACGGAATCTGTAACTTCTGCCTCTAGGGCTCTCTCAATCAAAAAAATAACAATAGACGCAGTTGTGTGACATCATGAAATAGAGTGGGATCATGGGAGTTGTTGTCTTCTCCACCATTACCGTAAGCTCCTCCCGGTTTGGATTCCTTCAGTGTCAGTGGTTCAGGAAATACAGAACAGACTCAGTGATTCTAACCGTTAAAAACACTGAATGAAGCAGTTTGACATTTAGTCAGTGTTTGAGCGACGCTGTACGGAGGACAGAGACTCAGGGAAGAGCTGGTGCTAAGATTGATGCTAACCTTTGTTCTGATTGTTTCTCTGATAACTTATGAAGCAGACATTCAGCAGGTTTTTACCAGCAGCTGAATTCTCCACAGAGGTGTCCTCCTCTCCATAACAAACACACCAGGAGATTCAAACCAGGAGAAACACCCAGAAAGCAGTTTACCTTTAAAAACCAGAGATTCACTGACGCTCTTCAGTGACACAGGACAGGACGTCTCCAGCAGCTGGGAGCTGAGCTGTCTAACATTTCCTCAGCTTGTTTCTCTGATAACTTCAGATCCAGACGTCCGACGACTAAAATCCTTCATCTGGTTCAAATATAGAGCTGAAAACCACCAAGGTGTCAAAAGTGTATGTGGCTTAAAACTAGATAAAAGTCTGATGTTGAGCTTCTGTCAGACAAACGCAACACTGACACATGATCATAGATGATATGATGTCATTGACAGGCGACCAATGAAACATTTCCTCAGCTTGTTTGTCTGATAACTTATGAACCAGGCATTCAGCAGGTTTTTACCAGCAGATGAATTATCCACAGAGGTGTCCTCTCCATAACAAACACACCAGGGGATTAGACCAGAGGAAAAACCCATAAAGCAGTTTCACTTTAAAAATTAGTTATGGGGGGGGGGCCCAGGGGCTCAGCTGCTCAACTGGTGGAGGTGATGAACGATGAAACATTCTCATGATTAAAATCACAGATTTCTCTGGTTGGAGAATTGATGGAAACATTTGGGATAGTGTAAGAACACAACTCAACAACGTATAGAACAGAGGTCTACTTGTTTTTAGACGTGGAAAAGTTAGATTATAACTTAATTCGTATTTTTCATGATTTGGAGAAAGTGGCACTCTGTTCATGGCTGGACCGGCAGATGTGAGAAAACACTTGCATGTGTCACTGCAGAACAAACGTTCTTACATACGTATCATACACATGTAGCCCTTGTTAACGTGACAATCTGCTCATGTTGCTCTGTTTTTGTATCATATGATTGACCTTTTGGAGACTGTGTTTTTGGTGGTGATGAAGAACCTCCCTGTCCTCTCTCACAGTGCTGACCTGCCAGTCTGTGCTGTCGGAGCAGAGACACCTGGCCATCCAGTTCCACCTGGAGTGTGTGTACACCAGTTTGACGTACTATGAGTACCAGCCAGCCAAGGAACACATCAGGAAGGCTCAGGAGCTGTCAGGGCTCAACATCAACATGACTGGTATGTAGAGTACAGCAGTAGAATATAAGAGGAGGCTATCATATCATGAGAGGCGATGATCCTCTGAGACTCATCACTCCTCGGTGACACCTGAAGCTAACGACTGATTGTATTTGGTGAATCCAGGTGCTCTTGGCAAACGGACCCGGTTCCAGCAGAAGTACTTGGCTCAGCTGATCCTGGAGGTCAGTAGAAACCAGGACCAGGCTGGTCAGAGGGACGACGAGGCCACTCCCACTCCCACACCTCGGGCCTACCTACCTAAGGTATTCAGACAAAACAGGAAGTGTTGCATGTATTGGCAACAATCACTCCTACTAATAAAAAACTTGGTCCAGTAATTTCTCGTGTCCCCCCGAGGCTCTGTGCAGAATGTGATGTTTGATGGACACTAGGTGGTGAAATATGTTGAAATGATTTTCCAAACTACTGTTAGGTTGTAAGTGCGATCTGCATGAAACTTTGCATGTATCATCTATGTGTCCTTATGGTCACAAGTTATTAAAGAGTTTTGATAATGCAAAAAAAACAACAAAACAAATTGGTAATGTATCTTTACATAACGCAGAACCAGTCTCATAATCACAAGTAGAAACTCTCTGTCTCTGCTCTGAAGGAATACACAGGACCATGACTTGGTGATAAATGAGGATATTTATTCATAATATTTATTTGTAACTAAATGTTCATAAGAAACTGAACAAATGAAGCATTAATAATGAACACATGACACAGAAGTCTGAATCAAACAGACAAAGTTGATCCTTGGCTAAATGAAGTGATCACTGAGGTGATGGGGAGATGACTAAGAGGTTCAGAGTTCACAGCCAACAGCAGAACCAGGAGGACAGTCCACTTCTCTAGGACTCAGACCACATGACATCAGCTCTTACCACAGACTGTAGCATCGTCTCAGAGTTTAATCTGAGTTTGACTTGAAGTTTCAGTGCTGATTCCACTCATGGATCCCCCAACTAGGTGATGCTCCCAGAAACGCAGCAGTTGCTTAGCAACGAGGGTCAGATAGTGGGGCTTCTTAGCGGATCTGGGGACTTCATGTTGATGGAGCGGAAATAAAGCTGAGGATGATACTTACAAAGCAGACAGAAGTTGGTCTGAGGAAGACTCTAGGCCTAATCATGTCTACTGGGTGTTTGGCCAGTATGACTCGGAAACATATTTAACTGCATTCTATATGGTTATTAAACAGCCACTGAACAGGGCTAAGAAAACTTTATCAGCATGAAATATGGAGGAAAAAAGCCCACAAGAGAACAACTGGAACTCACCTCCACCAAGGCTGTAAAATTTAAATAATGGCCCAGAATATTAAGCTTTGTCCTAAATCAGTTATGAAAAGTTTTAGTGCATCATACTAGTGTTGCGTTTTACAGCCATTGAAATGCATCATGTGGCTGTGGTACATCTGTGGATGAAATGCAATAAAATGTTGCAGGATCACTCGGAGATGATCTCCAGGTTTGATGTGAATGTGGTGTGGAATGTGATGTGAATACAGTTGCACAGTGAATACAAGAATGACCATGTTTTCTGTTAAATGGAGCACACAAGTTATGGAACTGAGAGTCAAAAACAGAGAACATAACTTTTTTTGATGGGGAATTTAAATGTTTTCTGGATCAGATCTTTTGAAGAATTAAGTCATTTTAAGGATGAATGTGGGAAAATCTGTTTTTGTAAACTGTTTGAAATGACAGTTTGTACAGCTCAAAATGGCTTTGGTAACAAAAAACTAAATCATCTGTAGTTAGTCCAACTACAGAATATGATATGTCTATGTTGTTGTTGTTTGGGTACTGATCAGACAAATGAGTTTGTGGATACAAACATTATCCTTAGTGTCCTAGTGTGGAGCTCAGACATCCAGAAGAAGCTTGGAGTAGAGCTGCTGCTCCTTCACGTCGACAGGAACCATTCGAGGTGGTCCAGGCATTTGATAAGAACACCTGCTTGGCACCTCCATGTTGAGAATTTCTGGGCATGTCCGGCTGGTAGGAGACCCTGGGGTAGACCAAGAACACACTGGAGGAATTCTATATCTAATTTGGCTTGGGAACAGCCAGTAAGAGACTGGACAACCATGCTTAGCCTGTTGCCACTATGACCCAGCTCTCGATAAGTACAGTGGATGGGCCGATGTAGGAACAAAGGCAAAAGCAGCCTGACTTTATAAAGCCTTAAAACAGTCGGCCATGGATGGGTGGACTTTGAAGTGTGTGGTTTTGTCATGGAAGACGGCTGCTCAGTCTTGTCTACCAACACTCAGTATTGTTGGACCACAGTCTTTCCCTAACCTTAACCAAGTAGTTTTTCATTTTTAATTTGTTTGCAATGTAACTAAGGAATGCAAGAAGAAGGTATTTTCTGCGTATACCCCACAGTTGAGGAGTTATGAGCACATAAAGTGGTTTCTGAATGTCGTACCAACAGTACAAACAGTCAGAAAACATCACCTTGATAATAACAACAGAGGAACCTGTGACTTTTAGCCTCTAAGACGGTGCTAGAGAAATCAGAATAAAGTCTGTGTGAAAAGTAAAAAAGAAGCTCTGGCCCCTCCCTCATCAACACCACGGTGGGGCCCTTGATCGATGCCCTTAACCTCAGTTGCTCAGTGCCCAGCAGGTCAAACTGAGGTTGTGTGGGGCAGCTCCCAGGTTGAGAGCGTTTCCATGGAGCTCAGTCTATTGGCTGTGGTCCAGCTCCAGTTCCTTGTGCTGTGCTCAGACCACTAATGCCTTCATTAACTGGAGGAGGGAGGAGCAAATGGTCTCAATCAAGGCTGTCATTAGCCAGAGCTTACGGGCTTCCTATCTAGAGTGGATAGAAGGAAAGCAGAGAGGGATGAAAAGGGAACGCTTAGTCACTTCCAATCTAAAACACACCAGCAGTGAAACTGGGCCATTTCTATCACTGTGGGTCTGACTGGACTTAATCAGAGAAAGCCTGGTCCAGAGTTCTTATTCTCGCTGCCAGATCAGACCAGCGGAGGGATCACTTTGTTGTTGTAATGTGCAGTAGTGCTGCATGTGTGTTCACAGCTGACTGTACCTGCGTTTCTGTGCTTTCAGGACTACAGTCTGGGTGACGACACCGTGCTGGATCAGATCAATTTAGCAGAGCCAGATCAGTACGAGCTGCCTGACCTCAGTGCAGAGGAGCAGGCGGTCATCCTGGGTGTCTGGTAAGTCCAGTACCTGAGAGCTCAGCACTGTTTCTGCAGCTCTCTGTTCAACGGGTTTATTTTACAGAAACAAGATTCAGGATGGACTCACAGAAACTTAAGGATCATAACTTTTATCTGTCGCATGTCAAGATAAATTACCTCCAACGTCTGAAGACTGGAATAATTTCCCACCATTCTGCACATCAGTTTAGAGCTAATGAACCACTTAGTTCAATCTGCCTGTGCATAAATATACATCATGTTTATAAGTCCTTTTACCTGACGTGTCGCTCTGACTTTGCTGACATCTCAGGAAAGAGTGGGTCTTTTTTATCAACCCTGTGACCTTTTACATGGTCATAATTATTAAGCTTGTTACACAGTTAGCCAGATTTATTTATTTTTGTTTTTTGTTGTTATTCCTGGTCAGAACAGGTAACATGCTGCCAGGTCACCACACCTGCAGACAGAAGCTTTGTTAAACTTGAGTGCAGCAAAACATATTGGCACCAGGAGTAAAGGTCAAAGGTCAAAACAGAACCAAATGAAAGGGGAAGTGGTTAACAGGTGTTAGGGGGTACTGCTGCTTCAGATCCAGATCCAGAGGGAGCTTTGTTTTATGAGTATACAGGCCATCTATGTGAATAGTTAACAGCAGGATGTCCTTAAAACATCTGGAATATGGTGACGCTGTCTGATCCGTCTGTGTGTTTTGTTTTCTCATCTTCATGAAATGTTCATGATGCTGTACTTGGTTGAACAAGTGTGCAACGTAGTTGTGTGAAAAAGAAAAAGTTCAAACCCAGCCAATCTTTATGTTACAAAACTGTGATGCAGCTCCAGTTCCATTCTCAGAGACGGTGTCAGATGCTGTTAAGCTCCATTTATAGTTGTGCGTTAAAGTGCTCACTGCAACCCCCATTTTAACAGTTAATAAAACAATGTAAATACAGTAAATTGTCTGATATCCAGTGATGAAACGAGGGAAACCTTCCCATTGTCACAACAAACAAGAACAAAAGAACAAAAAGAAGTCAAATACAAACACTGCAGAACCAACCGTCTCAGTAACCAAAAATAACACCACCGATCCATGTGTGCTTTGATTTCAACTGTTGGAAATATTCAATAAAAAGCCACAAACATATGCACTCATTGATTAGAAAGAAAAATATCCAAGCTAACAGCCAAGCCATGCTAATATCCAAGCTCTAACAGTTCAACATATTTAAAGATGGCGTTGGGTGTCATCATGAAATAGCGTGGGATCATGGGAGTTGTTGTCTTCACTGCTATTTCAGTAAGCTCCTCCCGGTTTGGATTCCTTCAGTGTCAGTGGTTCAGGAAATCAAACAGACCTGGTGATTCTAACCGTTAAAAACACTGAATAAAGCAGTTTGACATTTAAAGTCAGTGTTTGAGCGACGCTGTACGGAGGACAGAGACTCAGGGAAGAGTTGGAGCTGAGACTGATGCTAAGCTTTGTTCTGATTGTTTCTCTGATAACTTATGAACCAGACGTTCAGCAGGTTTTTACCAGCAGCTGAATTATCCACAGAGGTGTCCTCCTCTCCATAACAAACACACCAGGAGATTCAAACCAGTACAAATCCCCAGAAAGCAGTTTCCCTTTAAAACTCAGAGAATCACTGACGTTCTTCAGTGACACAGGACAGGACGTCTCCAGCAGCTGGGAGCTGAGCTGTCTAACATTTCCTCAGCTTGTTTCTCTGATAACTTCAGATCCAGACGTCCGACGACTAAAATCCTTCATCTGGTTCAAATATAGAGCTGAAAACCACCAAGGTGGAAAAAGTGTATGTGGCTTAAAACTAGATAAAAGTCAATGTTGAACTTACCAAGACATTTTGGAGAATTCTATGCTTCCAACTTTGTGTAAGGCCCTTTTATGTTCCAGCATGACTGTGCCCCAGTGCACAAAGCAAGGTCCATAAAGGCATGGAGCCCTGACCTCAACCCCATCGAACACCTGTGGGCTGAACTAGAACGGAGATTGCGAGCCAGGACCTCTAGTCCTACATCAGTATCTGACCTGACAAATGCTCTTCTGGATGAATGGGCAAAAATTCCCACAGACACTCCAAAATCTTTTAGAAAGCCTTCCCAGAAGAGTGGAAGCTGTTATAGCTGCAAAGGGGGGACCAACTCCATATTAATGCCTATGGATTTAGAATAGGATTTCACAAAAGCTCCAGTAGGTGTAATGTGTAGGTGGCCCAATACTTTTGTCCATACAATGTATATTCTCCGATAAGTGCTGATATGAATACTTTTATTAAGAAGCAATAATGCAGTGGAAATGCTCAGGTCGAGTCAAGTTATATAGCGACATATATATATATAACATATTTTAACAGCACCACAAACTACAGCCTCCACAATAAAACAACAAACAATAAAATATAACATTATATTATTTATAAGAAGTTAATAACCTTCATAGATGTAGGACTCACTTGAGGTTCATGATAAACTGGCTGCATTTGGTGGAGGAAGAAAATAAAAGCAAAACAATAGAAATTTTTTGCCAAATTTGAAGAAGTTCCATCAAGGTGTTACTGAGATATCGTGTCCACGTGAATGGGACGGACGTCCGGCTCTGGTTGTCACCGGTGCAGATGCATAAAAATGTATCTAATTACTCTTCCTGAAACACAAACCCTGTAGAAGTCAGCCTCCCTCTGTGCCTCAGCACCTGCACTTAAATTTCACAGGTACTTCCGCTCTGGTTCCATCACAGATTTTGTATTTATTATATTTCAGCTTCATGCACTTTTTACAAATGTCTGTATCGGCCATTGGGTCAACACTCAAACATCTGAACAGATACTGAATGGATTTGGTACAGATTATGATGTGCTTGTAAGAATCAATAACATTTTGTTCATTCAGTTTTCTTTAGTCTGTCTTGACCCTGAGTGTTATCTTGCAGCACTGACTTCCAGAAGAACAACCCTGTCCACAGACTGACTGAAGAAGAGCTCCTCACCTTCACATCTGTAAGTCATCGTTTACTGATTCTGTGATCAGCTGGTATCAGGTCTGATCATTGTGATCAATGTGATACTGTAAGTCTGTTTCCACTCATTTTAAGTCAGTGACAGATTTCAATGCATTTGCAGTTCAAGGTTTTTCCTTGCTTGTTTAACTCAGCAGTCTCATGTACTCAGTTGCCAGTTTATTAGGAACAACTAGTTTAGACTAATGCAGCCTAATGCAACAGCCATGAAATGAACCCTCCCTACATGTAGACTCTAATGTTCAGTTTTTGTTGAGGTGTTGATTGAGCTTCATTTTAGTAGCTGTAGTTTGTGATGCTGCTTTATACTGACAGGTGCTTCTATTATTTAAAATCTTTTCACACATGGAATGAATAATATTCTGACTCTGTCTTTCTGATGACAGTTCTGTCAGACAGAGATGACATTAATCTTCTACATGGCTTCACTCTGACATGACAGGACAATTACAGACACTGCTACAGGTCATTCAAAGAGTATTAAGACTCCCTCACTTTGTTCACATGTTGTTATGTTGTGCCCTGATGCTAAAATCCTTGTTTTCACTCATCAGTCTAGTCTAATTCCCCCTGATGACAAAGTGAAAACAGATATATTGTATGATACAGTAGAAATGTATTAAAAAGGAAAAACAGAAATAATCACATTGACATAAGTATTCAGACACTTTACTCTGACTCTCTAAGTTTAGCTCAGGTTCCTCCATTTCTCTGGATCCTCTCTGAGATGTTTCTACACCTTGTCTGGAGTCCACCTGTGGTAAAGTCAGCTGATTGGACATGATGTGGAACGATACGCACCAGTCTATATCAGGTCTCAGTTAACGATGCAGATCAAAGCAGAAACCAGGAGGATGAGACTTCAGTTATACAATGAAATAGCTCATCATCTACGCTGTGAATTGCTACATAGGTTGTTGCAGGTGTTCATGGTGCCTGGATGCTAGTATCTGTTTATATGGGATGATAACAGGAGGAATCTTATATCTGAAGCCACAGAGCAGTCAGGATATCACAGCTGGTTTTTTTAACATATGGTCCTGGCTTTGACTGAACCAGGTTTTAGTTGTAGCTCAGGGAGCTCTAACGTTGTTGTCAATATTTAGCATTTGCAACTGCCTCATGTGCATCACCTTATCTTTACCTTGCTCTTATCAGTGTTTGATCTCACACAGCAACCATTTAAAGAAACCAAATTTATCAAGGAAAACCCAATTTACCTAAGCAAACTAACCATATGTGAAGTCAGTAGTGTAGTGGAGATGTTGGGTGCTAGGACAATGAAGCCAACTTAAACTACATGTACAGAAACTGAGGCCTTAACCAAACAAAAATCAATTTGGGCGCCTGAAAGGCACCAGCCTTCCAGGAGGGCTGAGAGAGAGGGGGACCATCTTGAATTTCCCAGCTCCCTCGCCCACCTCCACTCAGGTGAAATCTGTCAGGTAATCAGAAAGTACCTGAAAGAAACACAGGAAACAGGAACAAGCCAAAACAAAACAAGATCATATGGCCCAGGGCCATCACTAGAAGTCTCTACATTATATTCTCCGTAACTTGGAGTAATAATGCTGAACTATGACTGAATCTACTTAAACTACCCACAATTCTTGATCTCACAGGGCACACACACGAATCCTGTCTAGTTTATAGACCTGTGTCCGAGGCTTGGATCAATTTCAGTATTAAACACTGAAGTGAGTTTCAGCTGTTGTGTGGAACAGATTCTGAGATGTTGATCTTTGTGTGATGTATCATTTAAAATCTTTTCTGTATTTGGAGGCAGTGTTGGCAGCTCTATAGACTCAGACTAAAACCTTAGACAAAATGAAAGAAAAGAGTGAGAGCAGCTCAGCTCCCTCTGCTGCTCAGGGGCCCAGACTGAGGCCCTTTGAACATATACAGACACACATTGTAGTCTTGACAATCAATATCTCCATAATTCTCTTTTCTCTTATTCCTGTGTCCTGGGTTCTGATCAGGAAGTCAAACATCATTTGTGATCATCCAGACTATAGCTTATTCTCAAAGGTTGGACTGTGGTTATTATGGGATACATCCAGCTGTGAGCTCAGTGTGAACAGTGAGCTGACAGTGTTGTATTGTTATCAGCTGCTGGCTCTGTGAGCAGGCATCTTCCCAGCCTACATGTAGATCCAGGAATCTGCAGGCTGGTTAGATGGTTGTCACATGTCTGGCTGTCCTCATCGATACCCGACTCCTGTCGATCCTCCTGGAGGATTATTACCCAGGCTGTTGAAAGGCAACAGATATTATCCTTGAAGATATGTAAAAAAAAATCAATGAGGTTGTGGATTCTCCACATCTTGTTATAGAGAAGAGGTGAAGAGGGATCAGTCAGCTGACCATCACACCTCCAGCTGCTGAAGTCAAACAAAAAGGATCTAGGGATCTGACTGAGGTCCAGGTCCCATCTCAAAACCATTAGGCATCACTGCACAGCCTGTCCATTCATCTCTGCCAATATCATTCTCAAAGCTCTATCTGTGTGATGGTCTGGTCCCTCTCTACACAGTTCTGGGCTCATACATCAGGACTGAGCTGAGGGAACACATCCACAGAGACCACAGTATCTATGAAGATTCAGTCATTGCCCTGGAGATGTGTTAAGATTTTGTTGCCATAAATCTATGGACAGTCCAGCTCTTTTCTTCATTTAGCAGACATTATACTTCTTTAATCATACTTAAGTTTTGTAAAGGTACGTCAATGGAACTCAGTGTTTCCTGCATATCTTTCAAATTAAAAGCCAACAAGGAAAGGGATTGTGTTGTTTGAGCTGCTTTAAAAGTTTTTAATGTCTTGTAGTGGCTCACATGGTAAATTATGTTTTATCTTCTAACAGAAATACCTTTTTCATTCACTAACCCAACACTCTCACTTAGCAATCTGTGCAGGAAGTGTTGAGTTTCATTGAAAGCAATAAAAGAACTATGTGTAAACCTATGATATTCTGCAGTTAATGACAAATAAACAGATTAGTGCTGTGTCTCCTCTGTCATGTCTTGGTGTGTTTACTCTGTCCAGTTGGTCCTCAGGCTTCAGTCTCATGCCTCTCATGTTTGATCAGTTTGGATCAGCACCTCAAATGAATTATTCCTCCTCCTGTCAGCTCTGCTCCCAAACAGACCTGTGTCTTCTCTAACCTGAGTCACAGTGAGGCTGAGAGAAGTGTTAGGTCATTAGATTAAATTGCAGACACTAGAGTAAAAGTTTGCAGATACTGAAGACGAAGGTCTGAGTTCTGTTGACTGAGGCTAAACTCTACCTTATCATTCGACCTAAAGTGCTTCGACACCAGATCTGACTCCAGTAAGACCTGCTCAGCATCCACAAACATTGTTTGGTCATCTCACCTGGAAGCAGGTAGCACTAAGTGATATTTCTATCATTATCAGGAGACTGCGTGCTGCAGCACTGAGATGTCCCAGCCATCATACAGCAGATTATCACCACAGCACACGCATAAAGACTTTCCGGCTGTAATGGGTTGTAATAATGAGGTGTTCTCACTGAAGCTTGCTGCTTGAGTCATTAAAGTGGTGACTGCTAAGTCCTGAAGGGGGAGGGGGGACCCAGGGTGTTATGTGTCATCACTGCTTTCCACCAGGTTGTAAGATCTCCACAGTCTCCCACTGTATCATCTCTTCATATTTGACATTTCCGATCTAATGAGAGATAAGAAATGATTGTAATGAACTCCGTTTGTTGCTGTGGACATTCAGGTTTTAGATTTCCTTCTGAACCATCAAGATTCTTTTGAGACCCTCGCTCAGTTTTACAAGTCTGTTACTTGACAGTTGATCCCAGTCCAGAGTTCCCTGGACTGAACTTTTTATGTGTAACTGATGATGCCCGAGGCTATGAAAAGAAAATGACCAGTCTGAAATTAATGGTCTTCATTCAGAGTGCCAGAGCTTTTATGATGGAGCTAAATATGGAGTTATGGAGAGAAAGCTAACAGCTCTCCTGTGACACTCCTGAGTTTGAGAGTTTGGAATAAAGAATAAAGAATTTTTGTAAATTGTCAAACTTTTGTTTATTTACCCTGAGTGTAGTAGGAATATGTTTATTTTAGAGACAGTCAATGCAAACTCAATACTTCCTCCATGTTTATATAATTACTTTAATTTGCATTGCTACAGTCAACAGGACAGTTTATCTAACTGACACACTGTGTTCAATCATTTATTTCCAGTCACTTCTTGCATAGATGCTTCACATGAAAAGGCAGACTTTTACTGTGAAAAATTGACAGGATATTGAGGGTAGTGTAACATTATTTGTGGAAACATACAAATGATTTGTATGTAATTGTATGTGGTGTGTTGTGTTGAGGAAATGAGCCTAATACTGAACATATAAAGTGATGTATTATATTACAAGTAATCTCAGCATATTCTTTTTATACCTGTGCTTTGTTTCTGCTGGCTGTTATCTGACACATGGACATTATTTGAATATTGTCTTTTATTTGTACGTTTATGGAAATCATAATTATAGGTTTGAAGGACAGTTTTGACCAAAGCAGATCACTGATAATGTGTTACAGGACTCCTTTGATTAAGCCAACCTTGACTTCTAAGTTACTGGAATGGGACAAACTGTAGTTACAGATTATGATTTCCTCTCCATCCTGAATGACTTGATGCTGACTAATAATCTTACTTCCCCCCTGTTCTTCTGCAGTGTATACTGTCTCAGCCCAAGTTCTGGGCTATAGAGGTCTCGACACTTTGTCTCAGGACCAAACTGGAAAAACAAAGGTCCAGGTGTGTAGAGAGATCCATGATGCAAACCCAGGTAAGGACAGATGTATGGGCTGAGTTTGGTTTTGTTCTTGTAGTTTTTGTTTTGTTTGTTTCCTGCCTGTGTCTCAATCACTGTCACATAAAGGTAAAATACCAACAAACAAAAAAACAAAGGGAAATGTCTGAAAATATGCACTCAGAAACTGGAAGTACAAAGCCTTTTACTAATGAGTGAAGTGTAAGTATTTAGTTTTCTTCCCTCAGACACAGTGGTGACAAGACTTTTAATTTTTTAATGAGAGTATATAAAGTAAAGAGTCTGAGTGTGTCTTCCAACGCTGCTCAGTCAAGACTCACAGGCTCATGCTGTGTAATGCAAGGCTGTGTGAACATCAAGTAGTGCTAGCTAGTTAACATATACAGATTAGCAGTGTACCACTCCCTCCCAAACTGCACCTGTTCATTATAATCTTGACATTGCTGGGCAGTGGTTGTTGCAGTAAGGTAAGTCCATGAGTACATCTTTATTTTCTGTTAGTTTTGTCATGCTCTGCTTCTTTAAATTAAATATTAACTTTCTAAATAAAGGAAGTTAATAAACGTGGAGTTAGGTATATGCTTGAAAAGAACTCATGGATCAGTCACAGGTGTCCGTCAGTAAGATACATGATCTATCAGCCGCCATATTTTAATTTTTTTATATGTTAATTGAAGAAGACAATAACAGCACAACAGCTGTGGGTGATTTGACAAGTCAGCCTCACAGGATACTGTTTGCGCATGGTCTCTGTGAATCTTTCTTGTCATTGGCTATTTAGTACCTTATGAGCCTCTGTCCATTCTGGACCCCCATCAGTCACTTTGGGGCTGATCACAGCATCAGACATGTGCCGTGCCAGTCAATACAGCAAAATGGTATTATATCTGCCATGATCACATCTCAGTCGAAAAACGTGAACTTCATTTTGTGACATGAGAAGACTGAATCTGTGGTGTGGTGAAATACAGTATTACTCTGCAGGAAATCTCATCTCATCTCCTGTCTTCCTTTTCCAGGCTGTAGTAGATCACTTTGAAGACAAGAACTGTCCCGTGACTGAGCGGCTCAAAGTCTTCTACTGCTGCCAAGCCCCACCCAGATGGGCTGTCCAGGTACCAAACAAAACATGTACAAAAACACATTCTAGTTTCCATTTGAATGATTTGTGAAAAATGTACACAGTGACGACATCAGTCACATCACATTTACAAACTGTTCACCACTGATTCTACTGTGTCTGTTACAAAGGAAAGAGAACAGGTAATAGATAGCTAGATAGATACTTTATTTAGCCCCTGGGAGAAATTCATGTGTCCATTAGCTCATTGTTGATAATAAAAATGATAATAATAATAAAAACAGTTAATAATAAATAAACAATAACTTCCTTTGGCTGAGGTGTTGTATAGCCTGATGGCAGTGGGAACAAAGGATCTTCTGAACCTCTCTGTTCTGCAGCGCAGTGAGATGAGACGTTTGCTGCAGCTGTAGCTGCTTCTCTGTCCTGCCAGAATGTTGTGGAGAGGATGGTTGGTATTGTCCAAGATGGCCTCCATCTTACACTGCATGAGTCTCTCCACAACAGTCCTGAGTGAGTCCAGACTCCTGCCAAGCACAGACCCAGCCTTTTTTACCAGCTTGTCCAGTCTCTTTGTATTCATGTCGGACATGCTGTTGCCCCAGCAGACTGCAGCATAAAAGAGTACACTGGCCACCACTAACTGATAAAAAATGTGCAGCATTTCACTGCAGACGTGACAGGACCTGAGCCTCCTGAGGAAAAAGAGCCGGCTCTGTCCCTTCCAGTAGATGGCATCTGTGTTCAGGGACCAGTCCAGTTTACTGTCCAGGTGCACACCTAGGTATTTATAAGTGTGCACCACCTCAATGTCCTTCCCTCTAATGTTGACTGGCTGAAGGGTGGGCCTAGACCGCCGAAAGTCCATGACCATCTCCTTGGTCTTGGAGGTGTTCAGAAGGAGGCATTTCTTGTCACTCCATTCACTGAAGGCCATTGTCAGATCCCTGTACTCCTCTTCCTGCCCGCTCCTGATATGCGCCATAATAGCTGTGTCATCCGAGTATTTCTGGATGTGGCAGGACTCAGAGTTGTATTTAAAGTCGGCCGTATACAGGGTGAACAGGAATGGAGCCAGAACAGTCCCCTGTGGAGCTCCAGGACTGCTCATCACTGTCCCTGAGACACAGTTAAACCAGCCTGATGTACTGTGTTCGTCTTGTCGGGTAATCCACAATCCAGGACGTGAAGCAGGGATCCACCCCCATCCCTTCCAGCTTGTCTTTAAGAATGGGGGGTTGGATGGTGTTAAATGCACTTGAAAAATCAAAGAACATAATCCTCATGTAACCACCTGGCTCATCCAAGTCTTTTAGAAACTCACTGGCCTCCGGGGTCCAGTTCCTGAATGACCGGGTGGTTTCAGCCTGCCTCAGTACACAGGGCTTGTAGGAAGGCTGAAGAAAAACCAGATTATGATCTGATCTGCCGAGTGGTGGTAGAGCTGAAGCAGTGTAGGCCTCCTTAACATTTGCATACAACAGATCAAGTGTCTTATTTTCACTTGTGGAACAGTCAACATACTAAGTGAAACCAGTCAGGTGAGAGGTGAGAGTGACATGGTTAAAATCCCCCGATATCATAATGAATGCAACAGGGTGCTGGGTCTGTACTCTCACAACAGTCTTGTGAATGACGTCACACGCAACTGCAGGCTCTGCTCTTGGCTGAATGTAAACAACAATGGCAACGATGTGTGAGAACTGCCTCGGTACATAGTACGGTCTAAGACCAACTGCCAACAGTTCAATATCCCGACAGCAGATTTTCTCCTTCACTGTGATGTGACCGGAGTTGCACCATCTATTGTTCACAAGCAGAACCAGTCCTCCACCTTTATTCTTCCCACTTGCTCTGGCATCACTGTCCGCTTGTTCTGCAGTAAAGCCGGGTAAATCCACACAATGGTCGAGAGTGTTGTCGTTGAACCAGGTCTCTGTGAAACACATGAGACTACACTCATGATATGCTCGCTGGTTCTTCACAAGTGCCTCCAGTTCATCATACTTGTTAGGCAGGGAGTTGACATTTCCCACGAGGATCGATGGGAGAAAAGGCTTATAACTCCATCTCTTAGCCTTTAGCTTAGCCCCGGCTCTGCATCCATGATAAGGCTTCTTCAGCTCAGTTGGTATTGGATGTTTAACTCTATATCTGGTAAACTTTAAAGTCAGGAGTTCTTCCTTTGTGTACATTGTTTTCTCCATCGTCAGACAAAACGACGTAGAATAAAAAACATCAATCAACAAAAAATATACAAATATATACAAATATATTGCAAAAAACTACGAGCTTTGCGGACTTGCTACCATTGCTTGTCAGAGCATCATTTGAATGTGGCAAAAGCTCTGTGACAATGCTGACATGCTAACAATTAGCGGGTTAATGTTTGTATAGTAATATTTATATAGTATATTTTTTAGCATGTTAATTATAATTCACCTCATATGTATCTCAGTTCATGGTTATCCATCCAGTAATTTTCCAGACATTTCACAATGTTGTGAAAATATCAACCTCGAGGTGGAGCAACAAGAAAAGTTAGAGGATTAACAAAGTTGGATTCACCCTCTGGGGACCAGGAATGTCTTAACAAAAATTGTGTCAGTCCATATACTGGAGTGTTGTAGATGGCAGTAGATACAATAGCAGTAGATACAGTAGCTTCAGTAGCAGGAGCTACAGTAGCAGTAGCCTCAGTTGCAGTAGCTATAGTGGCAGTAGCTTGTGTTACTCTAAACTCAGCAGCATATTTTCTCCCACACAGTGCATATTCATTCCTGGATGGGGTCGTCTCTAATGTCACTTGTAACATGACAAAAATAAAGTAGTTATAGTAGTAGCTAATGCTATGCTCTCTCTTGACCTGAAGGAACGGCAGGTTACTACTACAGGTAGTAAGCTAGTTAGCCAGCATGCTAATGTTAGAATAAAAAAAGACAGATACAGATTACAGAGTCTCTCTCCTACTATTGTACTTTATTGTATTATCTTATTATTTGTGCTCTATGCACAACATTTAAAACGTTTCAACATGTGGATAAACCCAAAGACCTGTTGTGACCAGATGATGGGGTCTAATCACTGTTGGGTCATTTATAGTATCAGTCTGACTTTCTGTAAGTTAGAAAATGTTCATTTTCTGTTTTTAGTATAATCATAAATTTGCCTTTAGAGCAGAAAGTGACAACTCTGAATCAATAATGTGTAAAACAGGATATATAAAGGTCTCCCAGGGGCTGTAGAAAACTACATTTCCGACATTTTGTGACACATTTGCTGAACTACCAAGCAGCATAAGACAAACATTTGACATTATGATAAAGCCCAGGATACAGTAGAGAATAAAATGGAAGGGGCAGTAGTAGAATAAGCAGTAATAGAAAGATTTAAGGGGAGATTGAAGGAGGAGGAGGAGTGTTGGAAGGAGGGAGAGATCATTTGGGGAGGAGACATCACCCAGGTGGTGTGTAATAAGTCATAACAGCAATAAAGCTGGAATTGAATAGCACCTATTGCAGCCTGGGGACTGGAAAGTGGGCTGAGGTGGAGGATTGCAGCAGCACTGTGATGCATTTCCTCCTCACAGGAGAACCATGGCCTGCATTAACAGAGCACTGAAGGCCACTTTATGGCTGTGTGTGTTCTCATGAGAAGCTGTTTAAGTATTACACCTTTGTAGTGCAGGCATTTTTATACTTGTTTTATACTGTACACAGACCAATAACTACACATCACACACGGTATATTTTATATCACTGCTGACCAAACAATGTAAACAATGTTGTAAATTTTACAATAGATTTCCTACCTCTCAGGCAGCCTATGGTTTTCATTCATTTCTTAGTCATATATAAACCAGCTCTCAAACATACAGTACTGCAGATAACTGTCACCATTCAGCTTTTCTAGTGACGTGGCTCCAGGGACAGCAACATTGGTTGGCTGGTTCATCGGTTGCTATGACATTTTTACAGACATTCATGGTCCTCAGAGGATAGAACCCACTGATTTTTGGTGATCCCTTGACTTTTAACTTTTGGTTCAGACAACCATGGTTCCTAAACAATGTATCCCAAAGACTCTGGTCCTCTGACTTTCCACTGTGAGCCTGTTTGCATGCCGACAACCTCAAAACCTCTCAGCGTTGTTGTCTCCCCCTCTGCAGAAACAGCTGGCCACCCTGCTGACAGACCTCGGCTGCATCAGCTCAGCTCTGCTCATGTATGAGAAGCTGGAGCTCTGGGAGGAAGCAGTTATTTGCTATGAGAGGCTGGGCCAGCATGGCAAGGTAAAAAACACACACACACACACACACACACACACACACACACACACACACACAGACATCTGCTGGTAAGTTCTTCTTGTCTTTTCACCTGGTCTTCAGTCAAGCCTGCACACATACTCTATACTTCAGATTAGTTTCTTCATGTTGAGATGCACTGAACATAAGTCAGAATTTTCACCATGCAGTTTTACTTCAGTGTTCAATGAAAATACTTGTCTCTGATTGGCTGGTGGATGTGTGTTAAAAGCCTATAAAGGGACACCTCAACATAGTTCTGTTACAGTTATATCACTGTGGTAAATCAGTGAGCTCTGTGGAACATAGCAGCTGTACTTATGCTGTTAACTTTAACTACTGAAGCAAAGTGACTCACAGTTTAAAGTGATGACAGACGTCAAAACATTTTTGCATCTACATTTCCCACAATGCAACTCAACCACAGGCAGTTTGATCGGAGATTCCGTGTGTTATGCTAATATCAGCTATTATCACTGATCATGTGTTTCCCTTTAGGGACACAGTCTATTTTTTTACCAGGGGTCGAGCCAAAAACTGGAAAGGTGTACCTAAAAAAGTGACCACTAAGTGTGGGTGGGAACATTTAATTTCACAATTTCACTTCACTCTTGGTTACTATGAGTAAAAGAGAAAAACACCAATCAAACAAAGTATTATTATTATCTCATGTCTGTTATTAACCAGTGTCTGGACTGGGACTGGTTACATTACCACCCAGACCACAGTGTATATCAAGGTCTTTGGATGATGTTTTATTACCCACATCCCCACTGTGCAGACTGACACTGTACCAATGTATTTTATTATGCCTCTGGCTCTGGCTGGCTGCCGCCGGTCTGTTTTTGGATTGTCCGTCTGTCCTATTCTCTTGGACACAATCTCTCAGTAACACCTTGAGGGAATCCCTTCAAATTTAGCACAATGTTCACTTGGACTAACTGATTAGATTTTGGTGGTCAAAGTTCAAAGGTCAAGGTCAGTGTGACCTCACAAAACTCTTTTTAGCCATTACTCAAGACTTCACAGCAATTATGACAAAATTTCACACAAATTGTTCATATTTTATATGACTCTGGATAAATAGGAATGTAGCCTAAAACTAGCCTGAGTAGAGGCAGACAACCATAAGCAGGTAATTGTAGTTGTATTTTTATGAACATTCATATGTACAGTAAGTATGCAAGAATTCAGCATGAAGTGCATACATTATATGGAAATTAGAACCCACTCACAACTCTCAGGGACTGCCAGTAAACATGCGGGTCACAACTACCTGCATACAAACACATTCAGTAACTGCAGATGTGCAGACATGACGTGTGAGTGCAAGCTCATCAATGACCAGAATGTCTCCTGACCAGAGCTGTCCAGTCCAATTACTCTGCTGTGTCTGGATAAGAAAAAGTCTCCTGTCTTAAACAATGTGGCGTGCCAGTCCCAGCCAACAGTCCATGTCATGTAGTCATTGCAGTCGTCCATGTATCTGCCTCTCTTTCCTATACTGGACCTCCTGCTCATCTGCTGCTCTCCTCTGTCACAGTGACACTGTGTCAGTGATGCACATAAATAAGAAATCATGGAAGAACTTGAATATTGCTACTATAATAGTATCAACAGTTGAGCCCCAGAGTCTCTCTCCAGACGTATAAAAAGCAAGCCAGTAACAGTAACTAGGAGTGTGGTTAATGGCAACTGTGAAATAAAGTATCACATTGTAGATCTAAATTTGGACATTCAACTTTCTGCATAAAGAGCTGTCAATTCTGGAACACATCACCTGAAATCACATGAATTCCACATATAAATTCCTTCAAACAAAGGTTATAAGTAAGTAAGTATGTTAAAATGCCTTGTCCCAATTATATAAATAAATAAACTAATTGTAATTGTGACGTCACAACACACAATCAAAAAAAGAAAATAATTCTCACATTTGAATAAATTACTTTCATTATCATTACGTTATTATATAGAACTGATCAGCCATAACATTATGACTACCTGCCTAATATTGTGTCGGTCCCCCTTTTGCCGCCAAAACAGCTCTGACCCGTCAAGGCATGGACTCCACTAGACCTCTGAAGCTATCTGGCACCAAGACTTTAGCAGCAGATCCTTTAACTCCTGTAAGTTGCGAGGTGGGGCCTCCATGGATCGGACTTGTTTGTCCAGCACATCCCACAGATGCTCAATTGGGTTGAGATCTGGGGAATGTGGAGGCCAAATTGTCACATTCCTCAAATGGTTCCAGAACTATTGTTGCAGTGTGACAGGAACAGATGTCACTGCCATCAGGGAACAGTGTTTAGGGAGCTGGTATGGGTCAAAGTTACATCCACATGAAGACAAGGACCCAGGGTTTCCTAACACAACATTCCCCACAGCATCACACTACCCCGCCAGCTTACCCTCTTCCCATCATGCATCCTGGTGCCTTCATCAGGTAAATGACAAACCAGTCCGTCCACATGACAATAGTAATAGAAAACATGATTCATCAGACCTGGACACCTTCATCCATCACTCCATGGTCCAGTTCTGGCAGTGGACAGGGTCAGCATGGGTTCTCTGGTCGATTTCATACGCAGAAGCTGTGAAGCACTGTGAGATCTGACAGCTTTCTATCATCACTAGTATTAATGTTTTCAGCAGGTTGTGCTACAGTAGCTCAGGACAGAACCTATTTTATCTCTTGTCACAATGATTGTAACCTAAACTGTAGACGCATGGTGGTCATATTACAAAGTAATCTACCAGGAATATACACAAGCATGTGTGTGTTTGGCCACCACAACAGCTTGCTGGATGACGTGTTGAGCTTAGTTCAGTTGTTTCCTGGACGACCCCTGTGTCGCACTGCTGGACTGTTAGACCGGCTCAGTTCAGATGAGTGGGTGGGTATTTTTCATGCAGGGCTCAGGTTGGTCTGAAGCTGCCTGACAGACATAATGTACATCCTGTACATAATGTCTGACATTATTAGTGATTATTGGTTACAGAAGTAAAAAGTTGGGTTCTGCAAACCTCTAGCATCCACCATCATAACTTGTAGTGGACTGACGCTGCAGAACTAACATCACCAAGTCCCTCAGATCTCAGTCCTGAAACACTCTCCACATCTTCACAGTGATTCACTATGCATATATACAGTAATTGAAGCAGACATGGTGTCAGATCCAAAGTGCTTCCTCCCTGAAATGTCATGTTTTCATTATATATCTAGCACAGCTCGACAATTTCCTCTGTTTTTTATTAATCTTTGTGTTGCGTTTACTGAATGAGTGAGAGGGAGGAACAGAACTAAACCCTGAGGCAGTCCTGTACTCATGCAGGAGGGTGTCACACCTGAGGTGCACTAGGTGCTGCTGTTGTGTTGCAGCTGTGCCGCTGCGTCATGTCTCCATTGCATTTAAAATAACAACGGGAAGTATTTCAGAAGACTTGTTCTGACCTCACTGTGTTGGAAACGGGTTTGCAGCTCATTTATCATCAATGTTGTTACTAATACACTTTCCTCTTTTTAATCTCAGTCTGCAGCATGCTGTCTTATTTTTATCATGAGAAGGAAAACCACAGATATCCTTCATCTGAAACCTGGCGTTAAAACTGTTGTTTTCCTCTGTGTCTGTACAGACAAAGACAGTGACTAATGATCATCAAGTGATGTCGTCCATTTTCTCAGGCTGAGGAGATTGTCCGCAGGGAGCTGGAGAAGAAAGAGACGCCCAGTCTGTATTGCCTCCTGGGAGACATCCTGAGGGACCATCAGTACTATGACCTGGCCTGGGAGCTGTCCGGCAGACGCAGTGCCAGAGCCATGCGCTCCAAAGCCCTGCTCCACCTCCACAACAAGGAGTTCCAGCAGTGTGTTGACTGCTTTGAGCGGTCACTCAAGATCAACAGTATGCAGGTGACACTGCTGGGGTCAGTCTGATGGGTGTGGGACATGTCTTCATGTTGTATTGCTATTTTGATGCACGCCCATTTTTTATCTATTTTATCTATATAGTTCATCATAGATCAGTAGAGATTAGGTTTTACAGACAGGAGATGTCAGATTCAGTAGTCAGCATCCAGGTCTAGAAGACTCCTGGTTGTTCCAGACTTCTTCATGTCAGAATGATGGAGACCACTGTTCTTATCAGGAACCTTCAGTGCAGCAGAAATGTTTTTGAGCCTCGACACAATCCTGTCTCTGAGCTCTGCAGCTGTTCCTTCCTCTCCCCTCCTCATGGTTTCTGCTCTGATCTGCATTTTCAGCTGTGAGACCTGATATAGACAGGTGTGTGTCTTTACACATCATGCCCAATCAACCGAGTTTACCACAGGTGGACTCAAGTCAAGGTGTAGAAACATCTGTCCATCCATCCATTTGTGATGGTTACTTGATTCCAGGTTGCTTTGATCCCAGGTCAGATTCCATACGTGATCCCTTCTATGTGTTCTAGGTCTGCCCTGAGGGTCCCTTTAGTTTATGACACCCCCATCTTCCTCGGCTGTGCTTATGACTTATTAGCAAATCTTAGCATGCTAACACCATAAACTAACACAGTGTTAGCATCACAGTGTGAGCATAACAGAAATGTTAACGTTGGTTAGCATGAATGTGGATTCAAACAGTGTTTCATTTCTCTCTCTCTCTCTCTCTCTCTCTCTCTCTCTCTCTCTCTCTCTCTCTCTGTCTCTCTGTGTGTGTGACAGCTTGGTGTGTGGTTTTCCCTCGGATGTGCCTACTTTGCTCTGGAGGGTTATGAGGGAGCTGCCAGGGCTTTCCAAAGGTGTGTGGGGCTTGAGCCAGATGTGAGTACCTACACAGACAGAGCAAAACTTCACTAACTACATCATAACATCATCATCCCATCAATGTCTCACTTTAACGCACTTTCATTACAACACACTCAGATATACACACTGTCCAAAATGATTTTAGATGACAGGACACAAACACACACAGAACCTACTCGTTTGGTGGAGTCTTTATTGGTTCCCATTCACACCATCCTTTGACAGCCTATGTGTATGATTGTGTGGACACTGTCATTTTTATATTCTGATGTGATTAATCTCTACAGCTATTACTCACTCTCTCCTCTCTTTTGCCTCTCCCTCTTTTCTTCCGTCCTCCTCTCAGAACGCAGAAGCGTGGAACAACCTCTCCACAGCCTACATCCGCCTCCACAAAAAGTGAGTCTGAGTGTTGGTATGGTGTATATTGGAAACGTCCTTGAAGAAGTGTGTGTTAACCTGTTTGCATTGGGAGTTAGAGTGTGTACGTGTCATATCATAGAATGGATTGAGTTTTGTGTAAGTGGATTATTCTATTCCTTAGTTCCACAAACATGTTGACATTTACGACTGAGTTACTGGATCTACACTCAGTGGTCACCTGCTGTAGTTACACTGCTGTAGACCTGTGTAGGTAACCCTGACCCTAACCTTCACAGAACAGCCTGAGTCTTTCATGGCATGGTTTCAAAAAGCACTTGGTGCAGAGTGGTCTGGATTGAGATCTGGTGACTGGAAGCCATTGGGGTAAACTTGAAGCCCCTGGTTTAAAATGTTAGTATTTCTCTATAACATTGCATATTCATGACTAAATGAAAAACATTTAAGTTATTATTTATCAGAAATTAACGGTCAAAAACTCTATCTATCTAATCTAAGTCACCAGGACTATGAGAGTGTGGTTGGATCTGGTTTGACATCAGCTGTCATCACTGATTCAAACATTACTAACCTCTGATTGGTGCATGAAAATTTCAAACCAGTGAGTCAACCATAACATTGAGTTAAAGGTCCGACATCTGTGTGGATCTAAATGCTGGGCCCCACAAGTTTGAATGGCTGTTTGATGGTTAAGATTTTATTGTTATGGTTACAATCAGGTTTAGATTATTCATCAACATTCCACATATCAACATTAGGTCTCTTGTTTTCCTAAACTCATTCATGCTTCATGTTTGTTCTCCCTGTCTGTCTCTTTCTCTCTGTCTCCTCCTCTCTCTCCCTTTCTGTTGTTTCTCTTCCTCTCTGTCTCTTCCACCCTGTCTCTTTCTATCTCTCTTTCTCTCTGTCTCTTCCTCTGTCTCTTCCTATCTGTCTCTTCCTGTATTTTGTCTTCTCTCTCTTCCTCTCTCTCTCTTCCCCTCTGTCTCTTCCTGTATTTTCTCTTCCTCTCTATCTCTTCCCCTCTCTCTCTTCCCCTCTGTCTCTTCCTGTATTTTCTCTTCCTCTCTATCTCTTCCCCTCTCTCTCTTCCCCTCTGTCTCTTCCTGTATTTTCTCTTCCTCTCTATCTCTTCCCCTCTCTCTCTTCCCCTCTGTCTCTTCCTGTCTTTAATTTTCCTCTCTATCTCTTCCTCTCTGTCTCCTCTTCTCTGTCTCTTCCTGTATTTGCTCTTCCTCCCTGTCTCTTTCTATCGGCCTCTTTCTTTATGTCTCTTCCTATCCGTCTCTTCCTGTATCTTGTCTTCTCTCTCTTCCTCCCTGTCTCTTCCTTCCTGTCTTTTTCTATCTGTCTCTTCCTCTATGTCTCTTCCTATCTGTGTCTTCCTGTATTTTGTCTTCTCTCTCTTCCTCCCTGTCTCTTCCTGTCTGTCTCTTACTGTATTTTGTCTTCTCTCTCTTCCTCTCTGTCTCTTCCTGTCTGTCTCTTACTGTATTTTCTCCCCCTGTCTGTCTCTTCCTCTCTGTTTCCTCTCTGTTTCCTCCTGTCCTCACTTGTAGAAACAAAGCCTTCCACACCCTGCAGGAGGCCCTGAAGTGTAACTATGAACACTGGCAGATCTGGGAGAACTTCATCGTTGTCAGCACCGATATTGGGGACTTCTCTGAAACCATCAAGGCTTACCACCGTCTGATGGACCTCAGGGAGAACTACAAAGATGTCCAGGTACAGGACTGAACTTAGGTGACAGTAGATTTGACTCTCTGAGAGTATGTATATTTTATTTCCTTGTGTTTCTTGGCCTTTTTATGCTACAGTTACTTTCCTAGTGACCTATAAAGTCCATTGTTAGCATTGGTTTGTTGTAGAAATCGCCTTAAACATCAATCTTTGTTGTCTAGAGAATTTTTCGTTTACTGGGGCATTTAAAAATACAAGTGTGATATGATGAGATATTGAAGGAGGCAGTGCTCAGCTCCGAAGCGCTCCAGCCCAGTTTAACCCCTGCCTTCCACCAAATTTGTTCCCCGGCCACTTTGTGAGTTGATCTGTGCTTAGCCAATCAGAGTGATTGCTGATGAATAGTGGGCAGGTACCTCCTCATAGAAGCAAAATCTCTGGTTGTGGTTGCAACAGAAAGAACAACTCTATTTTTTATTCCTCCACGCTGGCGACAGTCATAGTTGGAGGCATATTGTTTTCAGGTTGTCCATCTTTCTCATTCTCATGGACATGATGTTTCAGTAACACCGTCACAGAATCTCTTCAAATTAAGCACAAACATTCACTTGGACTCAAGGACAAACTGATGTCTATCTTATATGACTGTGGATAAACAGGGAGGTAACCTGAAACTAGTCTCAGTGGAGGAGGCAGACAACCACGAGGAGGTGATTCTAGTTTTTTTGTTAATACCATTACAGAAGTGTTTAACAGACACTTAAACGGTACAGATATAAGTGTTAAATATGGGATGTTTTAAACAATGGAAAACATGAAAGTGTTTTTAGGGATGCAGCAGGTTCTGCTGTCAACACTGAACACTTCTCGTGTCTGTGGAAAGAGAACATTGAAGATGCTATAGAGTATTTGCCACAGGTGAAACAGGTGATTTACTCTGCTCATATTATAATACCAGTAAAAAGACAAAGAGTTTATTCTGTCCGGTAGTTTTAATTAATCTTTTTATTGTGGTTACATAAGCAGAGTAATTTACAACAACTGGAAGAAAAACCTTCTTCCAGATCTTCATCACATCTGAGTAATTACATGTCCACCACTGCATTCAAAGTAGAAAATTAACCATCAGCTTTGAATAAACAAGGCAGAAAAGCCAGTGGCAGCATTTTCAAGAATATTAATTCTCTCCTTCAGCCCTGTAATAATTTTAGTCTTGTGGTCTTGAGCAATTAACTTAGTACTTACTGAAGTATCTTCCAAATCATGTGATTGAAATCACAGCTGTGATACAGAGGGACAGACAGAATCTGGCTGAAAACTGGATAACTGGAAAAGATTTCACATACGTTTTCTTCATTCTGCTGCATCCGGGTTTTATCTGCCTTCTTTAGGCAGCATGTTCATGTGTTGTTTTAATTTCCTCTCATGAAGTAGATTCAGATACACACAGCCTTCCATTAGGTCCAGTACTTGTCAGGTTTGATGCTGTTACGTCCTCCTACAACACAGACAGCCACTGTCACACTGGGCTTTAAAATGGTGGATTTCAGCTCATTCCAGTGCGTTTACCTTCATTAGTGGTTCACTTGATGTAAATTTGCATAAATCTTTTGCATCAAGTTCAACTCTTGTGACCATTGAAATGAAAATCTCGACCAGTGCCCAACAGAGGAGGCTGTAATAGCTCGTATCAGCTGTTTTGACCTTGTTCTGTTGCTCCACAAAAGGTTTGTAGAGTTATGAGGTATGAGTCTGTGGTGATAGTAACCTATAGTCCAGTTAGCGACCTAGCTACTTTATCTGACCTGTTATGACTGGCATGTTCCCAGGTGACTGTCATGTTAGTGGTTAGTTCCCTTCAGTTGTCACTACATAAGAAAGGTTTTGGCACCACTTATTTCACGAGGGCCCCCTGTGAACTTTTGCGTCACTATGTTTTGGTGTGACCAGGCCTTAAAAGTGCAGCAACCATTACACCCCAATGTAAGAAAGAGAAAACACACACTCATGTTACAGAATAATCTAAATACTTAGGTCCACTAATCGTCTTCACCCACTTCTATGTGGAGGTCCAGGGAAGAGTAATAAAGCATTTCCATAATTTCATATTTTTATAGGCATTAAAAATAGGAATTGTAAAGAATTTGTAAATTAAATAATGATCCATCAATAAATACTGATGTTCTAAAAATGGATTTACAAAAACAACATAAAACACTTATTAAATATGTGACACTCTGGGCCTTAAGTGCTGTAGAACCAGGCTAAACAATTCCAGTTGGCCATGGGATGTAACAGGTTGGAGAGCTGACCAGAGGGTTTTACAGCACTGAAGGTTCAAAGTGTCACAGAAAGGCTAACAGGAGAAGCTAAATGACTAATCTAATGGATTAGCTAACAAGAAAAGGAAAAGCAGCTGGAAATGGAAATTCTACTAATTATTCATGAATTAATAAATATATTTATAAATGGTTTATTAAATGAGTGTTGTGATGTTTTTGTAAATCCATTTTTAAATCTAGTCATTTAATCAAGTATTTATTGACAGATTAATAGTTCATTTATAAATTTTACAATTCTTATTTTTAATTTCTATTGAAATATTAACTTAAGGAAGCTTAGCTCCTCGTTGACGAGTCCTCTCGCTCCCTTCCAACACTTCTAATCTGTTCCTCAGGCATCAAACACATCCTCTTATAGGCACTGAGTGCTATTTTTATTTTCTCACACACACACACACACACACACACACACACACACACACTAATTTTTAAGCTAATCTAGCCGACATAACAACACTCAAATAACACACAGAGACAGACAAAACTAACTGTTGGCTAATTGGTTCAGTTCACCACAGCAGAGAGGAAGGTTGTAGAGGAGGGTCAGCTGAATGGAGTCTGTGTGTAGTGGAGTTTTGATTAAGTGCAGCACTCCCCCTCCCCCTTCCTTCACATGAAGTTACAGCCTCTCCTTTCAAACTGCTCCATTTCTACTCTTCTATTTTTACAAACACCTTTAAATGGGTTTTATAAAAGATCACGTCACTTTTTTGGAAGCAGCATTTCTGCCTCACCTTGTCAGGAAATGTCATGAGGAGATGTCAGCTGATGATAATTTCTCTGACTCTTCAAACCTTGTGGTAACAACCAGAGGTTGCACTAATCAGCTGGCTGAGGATCAGAAAATGAAGCTAGTATGGTCTACATGTAAGGCCCTGTCTCCTACAAATTAAATTTATGTACAACTTAACTTTGAATAGGAAACACATTGTGTGTGAAACTAGTTCAAACATCTTGGATTCAGGTGTCAACAGAACAGTGAATAGTCTCAATTGATGGACGGTGGTGGAACTTGATGCTCTGTTACTTGCTGTTGACTTTTTCTGTGGACACTGTAAATGTATTAGTAAGTTATAAGTAATTATATTATAAGTAAGTGTCAGTTAATGGCATAAACACCATAAACCTGTGAGACCACGGCAACACGAGCATGAGTGCAGGTGTTTATAAAAAAAAACACATTTCCTTTCCATCCTGCTGCTCCCTCACTGGAGATCTTGACAGCACTGTTACTAAAGTATCATTTATTTTTCCTCTTGGCAGATTCTGCAGATACTGGTAAGAGCAGTTGTTGAGAACCTGACGGACAGCCAGGGTGTCCAGGCCATAACCCTCCAGTCCAGACTGAAGGAGCTCCTGGGTCGGGTCAGTTCCCGCCACAGCAGTGACTCTGAGATATGGCGGCAGTACGCTCTGCTGTACGGTGATGGCCACAGCTCTAACCCAGAGGACAACGAGAAGGTCAGAGCCACAACCAGCATCATAGTGAACCACACTGAGACCATAGAGAAATACATCTGTGCACTTGTGTCAAGGCTTTATGGCCACAACCAGCTTGTTTTACCTTCCTCCTCAAATCATGCAGTCCGCTAAACCAGCCAATCAGCCAATAGTTAAAACCCCAGAGCAAAAACACTGAGTAAAACAGGGGAAGCCTTGACTACACCTAACTGTGGTAGTTAACTGTCGTGGCTAACTGACTTGGCTAGCTGTCCTGGTTAACTGCTAAAACCATGGTGGTATTTCTCTGGGGGTTTTCAGGCCCTGCAGTTCCTGTCGAAGGCTCACCGCTGTGAGGTTCAGGCTGGTGGCTGGGAGAAAGAACCTGCTCTCTTCAAGGAGGTGGTGAAAAGAGCCATTGATATGGGAGAAGGTGAGAACACACTACCACCATCCACAAAGCTAAAACAGTCTATACATGACACACATTAGACTGAACCTGACTGACTTCCAATCTTGTTGATAGAGGAGGTAACTAAAGGTATATTTGAGAGACTATTTGGTTCCAGCACTGACACCGCACTGAAACAGTGTTGAGATGGATAATATAGTTTGACTAACATTACTGTACTAAATGGGTCTGACAGTGGGTTGAGACAATAATGATTCTAAACTAATATCAGGTATAAACATATGATGAGTGGGATGAGTAACGTTTGAGATAATGGACATAAAGTACACAAAGTAACAGCTTCTAAGGAACAGATATTTAGTTTTCTGCTGGGAGCTGATTGTTAGCAGACTCCATTTCTAAGGTAACGTTAGCTAGTGTTGCGCATGGTTGGCAGTGTAATGCAGCTGAAGAGGGAGGACACTCAGGAGCATACACTTTAAACCAGTGAGGAGAACACTAAGAACAGTGGAAATATGTGCAGTCAATCTCTCAAGTGTATGGTGGCCGTGAAGTGCAGACACAACAACAAATCACAAAACACAACAGCAAATCACGAAACACAACAACAAATCACAAAACAACAACAAATCGCATACGACAAAACATTAACTTCTTGCGGAAAAGGTAGGTACCTGCTATCCACAAGGATCGTTGCTGATTGCAGTGTTGGGAATAGTTCTTTCTTCTATACAACACTGCTTCTTCAGAGTGCGCATATTCATTGTGAAGTTGTGAAAAGCAAATTAAGTATCACCTCATATGTATGCCCTGCATCAAAATTATCTCTAATAGTCACAAACTTTGAATCAGAGGTAGTGCCTAGGACCTCTAGAACTGCCAAGATGGTCTGACAGACAGTTTGAGTTTTTATTATGTAAATAACTTAAATAAAAACTACAGGTCTCTCAGTCCATGACTTTTCCTAAATATATGTTTTTGATGTTTTCTGAAATATGTTTTCTACAATAAAAAACACAACATTTCTGAGCATTTATGCCTCTGACCGCCGAAGCGGTCATATAGACCGCTGTCATATAGACTGCTGTGGCCATAGGAATTAGAACGAAATTTCCATTTCGCTGTTTTCAAATGAAAATCTCTCTCTTAGTTTTTTGCAATATATTTGTATATATTAGAATATTTTTATTCGATTGATGTTTTTTATTCTACGTCGTCGTTTTGTCTGACGATGGAGAAATTTATGTACACAACGGAAGAACTCCTGGCTTTAAAGTTTACCAGATATGGAGTTAAACATCCCATACCGGCTGAGCTGAAGAAGCTGTACAGTTGCTGCAGAGCTGGGGCTAAGCTAAAGGCTAGGAGATGGAGATATAAGCCTTTTCTACCATCGATCCTCATGGGAAATGTCAACTCCCTGGCTAACAAGTGTGATGAACTGGAAGCACTTGTGACAAACCAGTGAGCATATCGTGAGTGTAGTCTCATGTGTTTCACAGAGACCTGGTTAAACGTCAACACTCCCTACTGTTGTGTGGATTTACCCGGCTTCACTGCAGTACGAGCGGACAGAGACGCTAAAGCAAGTGGGAAGAATAAAGGTGGAGGACTGGTTCTGCTTGTGAACAATAGATGGTGCAACCCTGGTCACATCACAGTGAAGGGGAAGATCTGCTGTCGGGATATTGAACTGTTGGCAGTTGGTCTTAGACCGTACTATGTACCGAGGGAGTTCGCACACATCGTCGCCATTGTTGTTTACATTCAACCATGAGCAGAGCCTACAGTCGCATGTGATGTCATTCACAAGACTGTTGCGAGAGTACAGACCCAGCACCCTGATGCATTCATTACGATATCGGGGGATTTTAACCATGTCACTCTCACTTCTCACCTGACTGGCTTCACTCAGTATGTTGACTGTCCCACAAGTGAAAATAAGACACTTGATCTGTGGTATGTAAATGTTAAGGAGGCCTACACTGCTTCAGCTCTACCACCACTCGGCAGATCAGATCATAATCTGGTTTTTCTTCAGCCTTCCTACAAGCCCTGTGTACTGAGGCAGGCTGAAACCACCCGGTCATTCAGGAACTGGACCCCGGAGGCCAGTGAGTCTCTAAAAGACTGTTTTGAGCGCACAGATTGGAATGTGTTGTTGGATTCACCGGAAAACGATAACAGCAAGGACCCTGACCTTGATAGAATGGTTGAATGTACCACGGACTACATTCACTTCTGTATGGACACTGTAATACCAGCTAGGACTGTACACTGCTTTCCAAACAACAAACCCTGGATCATCAGTAACATCAAGACCCTCCCTCAACCAGAAAAAGGAGGCCTTCAGGGATGGAGACAGGGAGAAACTCAGGTGTGAGCAACATGAGCTGAAGAGGAGATTAAAGCAGGTGAAGGACTACAAAAAGAAAGTAGAGAGGAAGCTGCAGCACAAAAACACCAGAGAGGTGTGGAGAGGGATGAGGACCATCACTGGCTATAAAGAGAAGAACAGCCAGGCAACATCAGGTGATGTGGACAAGGCCAATGAGTTCAACCTCTTGTACAACAAGTTTGACACAGCCTCACCTGTTCTCTCTCCCACTGCTTCAGCTGCAGCTTCTCCTACGGCATCTCCTCCACAACCTGACCCTGCAGCTGCACCTCCCTCCACACTGGGGTCAAGTCTCCTGTCCTTTACAGCGGAGGAGGTGAGGGCGGAGCTCAAGCGGTTATGCCCTGGAAAGGCAACAGGCCCGGATGGTGTGTGTCCGAGGCTGTTAAAGGACTGTGCAGCCCAGCTGGCTGAGCCTCTCTAGAGGATCTTTAACTTAAGCCTTCAAACAGGGAGGGTCCCTGTCCTGTGGAAAACATCATGTCTTGTTCCGGTACCAAAAGTAGGACGACCGGCTGAGAAGACCCTGGAGCGGCTTCTTCTCCTCCTTCTGAGGCCATAGGTTGAACATGCACTAGACCCCCTACAGTTCACTTACAAAGAACATATTGGAGTGGATGATGCCATCCTTTACATGCTCCACTGGCCCATTCTTACTTGGATCAGCCAGGTGGTTACATGAGGATTATGTTCTTTGATTTTTCAAGTGCATTTAACATCATCCAAACCCCCATCCTTAAAGACAAGCTGGAAGGGATGGGGGTGGATCCCTGCGTCACGTCCTGGATTGTGGATCACCTGACAAGACGACCACAGTACGTCAGGCTGGGTAACTGTGTCTCAGGGACAGTGATGAGCAGCACTGGGGCTCCACAGGGGACTGTTCTGGCTCTGTTCCTGTTCACCCTGTATACGGCCGACTTTAAATACAACTCTGAGTCCTGCCACATCCAGAAATACTCGGATGACACAGCTGTTGTGGCGCATGGCAGGAATGGGCAGGAAGAGGAGTACAGGGATCTGACAATGGCCTTCAGTGAATAGAGTGACAAGAACTGCCTCCTTCTGAACACCTCCAAGACCAAGGAGATGGTCATCGACTGTTGGAGGTCTAGGCCCACCCTTCAGCCCGTCAACATTTGAGGGAAGGACATCGAGGTGGTGCACACTTATAAATACCTGGACAGTAAACTGGACTGGTCCCTGAACACAGATTCCATCTATCGGAAGGGGCAGAGCTGGCTCTTTTTCCTCAGGAAGCTCAGGTCCTTTGACGTCTGCAGTGAAATGCTGCACATGTTTTATCAGTCAGTGGTGGCTTTTATGCTGCAGTCTGCTGGGACCGCAGCATGTCAGACATGAACACAAAGAGACTGGACAAGCAGATAAAAAGGCTGGGTCTGTGCTTGGCAGGAGTCTGGACTCACCCAGGACTGTTACAGGTGCAGCAAACGTCTCATCTCATTGCGCTGCAGAATAGAGAGGTTCAGGAGATCCTTTGTTCCCACTGCCATCAGGCTATAAGCCTGATGGCAGTGGGAACAAATGTAATTATAATTGTTTATTTATTATCAAGTGTTTTTATTATTATCAACAATGAGCTAATGGACTCATGAATTCCCCCTAGGGAATAAATAAAGTATCTATCTATCTATCTATCTATCTATCTATCTATCTATCTATCTATCTCCACTGTTTATTGTTTTCACTTAACATTAGGCTTACATATGTATATGCAGATCTGGATAGAGAGCAAGAGAGAGAGAAAAAGCGAGAGAGAGAGAGAAGTCGTCACGCAGCAGATTTAGCCTACCAGCAAAAACTGAAAAGAAATGGAAAGAAGTGGAGAGAGGAAAAATAAGAAGAATATACAATGTTCAAGAGGCTTTGTCACTTTCTCAGGACCTTAGCGAGGGGGGAGTCTGATGGTTTAGTGATGAGGAAAGCCAATGTCAGCTTGCACATCTGTCAGCATGTCCACTCATGACGCAGCCACCTCGTAAACCTTATTTTGTGACTACAAACTACACCTTGATTTTGTAAATTGTTGGCCTATAGACTATAAACAGTAATCAACATCTAAAATCACCCTCATTTATAATGGATAAAGAATTATAATGCAGCCTAATAAATCTCAGCCAGCTACTGTCCAGTCCCGTACACATGCCACACCGGTCTCTGTGAGAGCTTGTAGGCTAGGTCAGATCCAGGTGGGACGATTGTTTAAAAAAAAAAAAAAAAAAAAAACCTCTGGCTGTTGATAATAAACAATAACAAAAATCATCTCTAATGTAATCTACCCCCCAACCCCTAACACAACATTATATGAAGGAGAAATACTAACATTTATTTTTTTCCACTTAAAGAACTGCTTGTGAACCCTAACAATGTAAATACATATGGTGTTCTGGGAGACCGATGTGGTGGCTTTAGGGGGTGCTAGAATGCTGGCATCCTAGTGTTAAAAAGACAAGACATTGTGTCCGTCCAATCAGCAGCGATCCTTGTCAATAGTAGAGACTTACCTTTTCCATTAGAAGTAAATGTTGTTGTGTTTTGTAATTTGTCGTTGTGTCTTGTGATTTGTTGTTGTTTTGTGATTTGCCATTGTGTTTTGTGATTTGCTGTTGTGTTTTCCCATTTTTCGTTGCACTTCATGGCCACCGTGCAAGTGCAATACCCAAACTTGTCCTTCTGCAGGAGCCAGCTGCTCTGAGTTTAAGAAAGAAGGTTTTCAGGGTCTTAAAGAAACAAGTCTGAGAATGAAAATGCAGTGACTTCAACACTGTTCTGACCTGCTAGACTGCACACAATCAGCTGCTGCTGAGGTGCCTTTGAGCAAAGCTATGAAGTCCCAAATCTTCCAGCTGCTCAAGAGTCAGACTGTGTTTACACCTGGCAGCTCAGCAAATGTCTGACTGTATGAATGCAATGCAGGACATGATCCTATAGATAAATAAATATATTGTATAGAGTAGTGCAGATGTATTTATGCTGATGGGCGCTCTGCAGTGTCAGCTGACCCTTCAGCACCCATGTTAGATGGATGACAAACCTCCCCTGAAACGAAAGCGAACAGGAAACATACCTTTCTACCGTTGCCTGTGTGACCTTTGCTATCAGCTTCTGAATTTGTATTGCAGTCTATGGGAGAGCTACTATGATGGTTGAAGAGTTCCTGTAGCTCAAAGTAAATTCAACATGTCTGCTGCTGTATTTACTGTTGCACTGTCCAGTCTGAACTGTAACCTCTCTATAAGCACTAACTTGTAAACAGCTTTCTGTGTGTGTGTGTGTGTGCGTGCGAGCGTGCGTGCGTGCGTGCGTGTGCGCTTGTGCGTGCGTGTGCGTGCGTGCGTGCGTGTGCGTGTGTCTCTTAACGTGCTGGTTCAAACACCTGTGTTTAGCTGGAAGACAGAGCTGACACAGATCTTAGTGTGATCTCAAACGACTGCTTTTTGTGAAAAAACAGTAATTCCTATCAAAACCATGAGTGGACCATGACTGGCACAAGACCTTTGTGCACTGCATATCTGGCTTTGGTGTTTCTAAAGCAAAAAATGTGGACAAAGAAGAAAATTACAAAAAAATAACACTGGCACATTTCTCGGGAAATCAGCTCCTAAATTTGTATTGCAGTTGATGGGAGAGGTGGCGGGTACTCCCATCTTGTTGAGGCTCATGTTCAAATTCTGCAAGTCTCTGTGCTAAGGTAGACACATTGTATTCAACAGGACAAATTATGTGGCCGTGAAGACGAGTTAAACATAATCGCTAGAGTGGGAGAAGCTCTAGAACTCCTCTGAAAAAATTCTGTCATCCACTCTAGCTCTGAACATTCCCTGCAATACACACCCATTATAAAGTCTGAAGTGGTCTAAAAATGACACAAAACGTAAACTGCGATTTTGTGTAAACCAAGGTAGTTGTCAAAATACCAATTTAACCCAAACGAGTCTCAAGTCTTGTGACCCATTTAACGTTTCAACCTTTTTTCTACGTTGAAGTATGACGCAGCAGTAGAGCTCCAAATGTTGTCGTTTTGAAGACGTCTCCCTATTCATTCGCCATGGTTACTCGAATCGCTTAGAACAGTCATAGCACACCATTCCCCATTGAGCATCAAGCTATATGTTGTCTGCTATTGCATTGCAGGCATATAAGTATGCAGAATAATAATATCAATGCTATTGCATTGAAGGCATATATATATAATAAAACATAAAAGGCCAATAAGAACTTTATCCAGTCACATGTTCAAGAAACAGCAATGAGATATTTTCATCTGTTTCCTCCGCCGACTCCCAGTGTCTTTTACACAACAACATCGTGGTGGTTAAGCTAATTACAAACCGTGAATAAACGCTACAACGAAAGCTGTCTGTAAGTGATTATCTTGCTTCACCATGAATCTTAAAACTTGGTGGATTGTTGTAAACTGAGCGACTGGCTGAAATAAATCCAAGCAATAAATTCAAATCCTGTTCTGAATTTCTTTTTCTTTTTCTTTTTTTTTTTTGAAAAAAAAGAACCAGTAATAGTCTGAGCTGAATCAATAAGGATATGGATAAGATAAAGATAAAATCCTAATGATACCCATCCCAACAGCTGGTTAATGTCTGACTTTGGGAGGATGAGCACATCACAGTTCAAATCCCTTTACTCTCTCTCTCTAGTCTTGTTTAACCAGTGTTATTACGTGATTATCATTTTTATGGCACACAGTGAGATCAGTCACAAACGTGAAGGATTACTTTCCTGTAAGTGTTGTCTGTTCATTAGTAGACAGAGCTTTTTTAATATCTTTTGTCCTTGTAGCTCATAAAANCGTGGTGGTTAAGCTAATTACAAACCGTGAAGAAACGCTACAACGAAAGCTGTCTGTAAGTGATTATCTTGCTTCACCATGAATCTTAAAACTTGGTGGATTGTTGTAAACTGAGCGACTGGCTGAAATAAATCCAAGCAATAAATTCAAATCCTGTTCTGAATTTCTTTTTCTTTTTCTTTTTTTTTTTTGAAAAAAAAGAACCAGTAATAACTCTCATCAAGTCATAAAGTCGTCTTCTGCTGCCTATGTATTTACACTGAATACGTTTTTGAGAAAATGTTTAGGCCTGAATCTGGGATTATTGATCATGCCAGCATGTCATTTAGATGTTCTGGAGGAAAATTCATTCAACTATTCAATAAAATAGTCGATAGATTAATCATTAGAAAAATAGTTGTTAGTGGCAGCCCTAGTTCTTTGCTTGTGGGTACATGTCTTTCTATAATTGTGAGGACAAATTTAGTTAAAACTCATTATTGTAAGGTCATTTTGGCCGCTCCTGACAACTTCAGAGGGCTTTTTGAAGGTTAAGCTTAGGCAGTTTCTACCACACACACACACACATACATTGACAGACATAGAAACCATCTCCACCTTCGGATATTAAATGTATAAGTGTCTCAACGTTGTGACACAAGCTTTTTGGAGGCTCTATGGTTGACAGTTCTACTGCCACACACAACAATACTCACACAAACATTGACAGACACACACAAGTGCACAAGTTGCTGACCAAACTTTCACACAACTGACTGTGATTGGCTAATTAGACTGATTAACTCAGGGTATCTTTTACTGTTGTCCTTGTTGTTCTGTTCTAGCAGGAGAAATGACAGCAGCTTTATTGCAGAGCAACTTCTGTTCCGGCATGTAAACGTGTGTATACATGTCTTGCTATGGTTGTGGGGACAAATTTAGGTTTGTGAGGTCACTTTGGCCAGTCCTTGCAGTTTCAAAGAGCTTTTTGAGGTCAGTTACAACATGATGCTGAGAATGAAAATTTGCAAATTAGTTTTCTTTTGATCAAGTAATCAATTAATCAATAGTTTAAGTTCTAATCCATTATACAGAAGCCATGCAGTCCCTCTCATATTGGTGCTGTGTATTAGATATATTACTAGGTCAGTGTGGCTCCTCCACTGAAGTGTAAGAATCATGTAGAGCTATAGCTGCTGAAGATGGAGCTGATTTAACTACTCTTTACACGTTTTATGAACTGATCAGAGGTCAAAGCTGAAATTATTAAATCTGTGTGTGTGTGTGTGTGTGTGTGTGTGTGTGTGTGTGTGTGTGTGTGAGAGAGCTTATTGACGTGACTGGATTCTCTTTCTGTCTCTCAGTGACCCTCAGCTGCAGTAAGAAGAAGACTAATCCAATAGAAGCTCTTCAGATGCTCTCCTCCACCCGGCTCAGCCTCCGCAGTTTGGCCACCAAAGCTAAGGTACAGTCACCAATACCTATCATGTTAGACAGGCATGCCACATACAGAAAATGAAGTGCAGATGGTGAACGTTGTCAGAACCTTTTAACCTGGGCTTCAGTGGTTATTCCAGTTTTTATGTCAATAATTATCTTTAATGTAAAGCAGAGGTATTCACAGAGCCAGATCAGTGTCTGTGTGAAAGGGACAGATGGTGACATGCCGTTGTGTTACGTCACGCCTCTGAACCAAGCATCAACATCCGAGGCTGAAACATGAAGTCAACACTAAAAACTGCAGTTCCTCTAATGACCACTAGAGTCAGGCTCCAACAGTGAGTCAATCCCCATAGACTCCCATGTTAAAATGTCCAACTTTACAGCAGAAATAAACATGTTTACAGCCTGGTACAAAAACAGCTTTGGTCTCTAGAGCTAATTTCCTCCTTCATGACAACTGTTAATATAACTCACCTGTTTACATTTTATTAAGGCTTAAAGTTATGGAGAATTGAGGGCGTGGCCTCTTTCAGTGACAGGTGGGTGAGTGTATGCTTGGCATATACCAGCATGCACCAAAGTCTCAGCTCCACACATGCCCCTCCTCTTTGTCCATTTTTGGATTAGCTGGGAGGTATGGGCGGAGTCAGACACCGCCAAGATGGTGACGGTGGAGCAGCTCACTCTGAGTTTCAAAACAGCTCTTCAGAAACCTATGGGTGACTTCACGGAGGCTACGAACATCTTTATTTACAGTGTGTGGTCTGAACACCACCATGCTATCTAAAAATCAAACATGGGGGTGGCAGTGTGCCGGCTTTGTGTGGTTCAGTGTAGTCTGAGTCAGCGGGTTACGTGCCATCGGGTGCTACAGGAAACAACAACAATGTCTGAGTTGCAACATACATGCTGAAAATGGTGAGTTTTGATCAAGATCTGGATCAGCAGCCGTTGACAGCGCTCACCTCCACACATACAAATGCACTGCATCCTGGGCTCAGCACCCCTGTGGAGTCAGGTCTGGCTTTGTGAGACGACCTTCAGTGTAAACAAGGCCATAATGGAGGTTGGTTTTCACCGCAGTGTATATGGATTCTGCTGCTGCGGCGTCGTGCAGATTCTTCTGCAGTGTTGTGTTTGACAAATGACGCTCCAAGCAGTCAGCCAGTGAAGCTGAGCTCCTCAGTCTCTTAATGATACACAATTAAACTAGTCAGTATCTTTCATTTGTATTTATTTACTTAGATTTCCACACTTATAGCCTTCAATGTATGAACTGAAAACAAATTGCCCAATTAATGAATTGATTGACTTAAATTCTGTTGCTTCTTTATGGCAGCCGAAACAGCATCAGTCCTGTTGGAGTAGGTCTCAAAGGGTCGATCCTTAAACAAGGATGAGGAGCTGATGCCACACACACTATCTCCCTCTCATTGATCTGTGTCCTTCACTGTCTTTGTCATCCAGGATGACATCCAGAATCAGCCATCAATATTAATGATACCAGTCAGCTAGGTTTGCTGATGCTAACATTAGCAGTGCACTGTGACTTCCTTTTTTTCTTATTCGTATTCTTCCAAATATTCAAATACAAAACAGTTTTCTTGCATATTACAGTGTTAAAACATGTATTGGTTATGATACAGTACTGAAATATAATAAACCAAAAAGGAAAGAAAAAGGCACATAGTTGAAGAAGACATATTGTATGAGAGTTGTATTCAATTACATAAATAAACCCAGTAAAGAAAACAGATTCTGGGTGTTTCTGTCCATCATTCATTTAAGTGATTTTGTGAATAGCTGAAGTTCATTTTTCCATCCATTGATATGGGGCTTAACCTTTAAATATTTGCATCTATGAATAAAATGCTTACCAACGTAATCAAATCATTTATCAGAAACTTCTTCTGAAATTCTTCTCCATAATAAGTACTCCAGCTTTAACCCACATCATATTTAGTGGGTGTAGCAAAATGTCTTCATGGACGTTTTACATAATGTTATATTAATATGCAAATGAAAGAACAAACAACTCCAGCTCTGAAATGAATTTACAAACATTGCGAAGGCTACGTTTACTGCAGTCCTCCTGAGTGTGTGTTCTCCCAGAAATGCGTGTAACCAGGACTGACAGTGAGCTGCTACTGCTCATCTCTGAATGTTACATGATTTTATTTAAAGAATTTAAAACTCAGAAAGTAGAATCACCCCCTTGTGGTTGTCTGCCTCCTCCACTCAGACTAGTTTCAGGTTACATCCCTGTTTATCCAGAGTCATAGAAAATATGAACCATTTGTGTGACATTTTGTCATAATTGCTGTGCGAAGTCTTGAATTACGGATAAAAAGTGGTTAGTGAGGTCACACTGACCTTGACCTTTGACTTTTGAACACCAAATCTTATGAGTTCGTCATTGTTTGCCAAATTTGAAGAAGTTCCCTGAAGGTGTTACTGAGGTATGGCGTCTACGAGAATGACACGGATGCACGGCATATTGTTTTGGGGTTGTCCATCTGTACGTACATAGTTTGTGCACCGTTCTACTTTTCATTAACTCATTAGACCTTAATGGACTCGTTAACATTTGTAAGGCAGATCAAGGTTGACATTAGGAGTTGTCAGCTGATGATAAATTCTCTGACTCTTCAAACCTTGTGGTGAGTGATCTGACCATGCAGCTACTGATGCTACACAGCAGAGGAGGCTATAAAAAGATATCAAAGAGCTTCCAGCTTGAAATCTTGTGGGAAATAGAAGTTAAGCAGAACTTGAAGAGATCTGGACCAAGACCAAGAAACTGTTCAAATAAGACAAAGACAAACCCCCCTCATACAGTGGCAAGAAAAAGTATGTGAACCTTTTGGAATTAAATGAAAATGTGATCTGATATTCATCTAAGTCAAGGGTATTGACAAATATAATGTGTCTTAAATAATACCACAAAAAAAAATTGATCTTTCATGTCTTTATTGAGAATAACCAAAAAATCCTCATAGTGCTTGTGGAAAAAATATGTGAACCCTTGAATTAATGACCTCAAAAAAGCTAATTGGTGTCAGGTTTTAACATACCTGGAGTCTCGTTAAGACAATGAGTTTGGGTGGGGGTGTGGACTAAAGCTACTTTGACTGATAAAAACCCCTCAAACTTTTGGAGTTTTGCAAAAGAAGAACACGTTTATGTGAGCCATGCCTTACCAAAAAGAGCTTTCAGAGGATCTACGATCAAGAATTGTTGATTTACATAAAGCTGGCAAGGGTTACAAAGTGATTTCAAAGACTTTAGAAATTCACCAGTCTACAGTTATGCAAACAATCTACAAATGGAGACACTTTGGGACTGTTGCTACTCTACCAAGAAGTGGACGCCCAGTCAAAATGACACCAAGAGCACAACGAAGACTCATCAATGAGGTAAAGAAACAACCCCGAATGACAGCCAAAGATTTGAAGGCATCATTGGAACTGGCTAACATCTCTGTTCATGAGTCTACAATACGTAAAACATTGAACAAGCAGGGTATCTACGGCAGGACACCACGAAGGAAGCCACTGCTTACTAAAAAGAACATTGCTGCACGCCTGAAGTTTGCAAAAGAGCACATTGACACTCCACAGCGGTATTGGCAAAATGTTTTGTGGACTGATGAAACTAAGATTGAACTATTTGGAAAAAACACCCAGCACTACATCTGGCGTAGAAAGGGCACGGCATATCGTCATGAAAACATCATCCCAACCGTAAAGTATGGTGGAGGAAACCTCATGATTTGGGCCTGCTTTGCTGCATCAGGGCCTGGCCAGCTTGCAATCATTGAGGGGAAGATGAATTCCCAAGTTTATCAGAGAATTCTTCAGGATAATCTGAGAATGTCTGTACATCAGCTGAAACTCTGTAGAAAGTGGGTGATGCAACAGGACAACGACCCAAAACACCAGAGCAAGTCCACAACAGAATGGTTCCAGAAAAACAAAATCTGCCTTTTGGAGTGGCCAAGTCAGAGCCCAGACCTCAACCCAATAGAAATGCTATGGATTGACTTGAAGAGAGCCATACACATGAGATGTCCAAAGAATATGGCAGAGCTTAAGCAGTTCTGCCAGGAAGAATGGGCAAAAATTCCTCCTCAACGATGTGCAGTTCTGATCCAGAGCTACAGGAAGCGCCTGGTTGAGGTTATTGCTGCTAAGGGGGGGTCAACCAGTTATTAATTCTAAGGGTTCACTTACTTTTTCCACTGCCATTTTGAATGTTGAATGAGTGTGTTCAATAAAGACATGAAAGATCAGATTTTTTCTTGGTATTATTTTAGACACATTATATTTGTCAATACCCTTGACTTAGATGAAGATCAGATTTTATGACAAATTTATTCAGAAAACCATGACATTCCAAAAGGTTCACATACTTTTTCTTGCCACTATATAACTACAGAGGAACTGCAGGAAGGTTCAGTTGACACAGGAGTGGTGGTGCAGCATTGATGCACAAACAGGGTCTATGTGGAAGAGTCATCAGAGGGAAACCTCACCTGTAACCTCGTCACAAAAGTGAGCATCTGAAGTCTGCAGAGCAACATCAGGAGAGTCAGTTAAACAAATGCTTGAGGACAGATGAGGTTAAAACTGAGCTCTTGAGCCACAACCACCAAGGCTGTGTTTTGGAGAAAAAGTTCCAGCATTTTGCCAACTGTAAAGGAGGGTGAGGGTGGAAATATTGTGCTTTTGGGTTGTGTGGCAGCAGAATGACACAGGAGAAACAGACAGAAGAAAGAATGGATTCCACCAAATATCAGCAGGTTCTGGATCCAGACATCCTGCAGGCAGTCAAGACATAACTCTACAACAGGACCATGATCCAAAGCAGACCTCAAAATCCACCATGAACCACTGCAAGAAGCATCAGCTGAAGATTCTGGAATGGCCCCGACAGCCCCCCCTGACCTGAACATCACTGAACATATGAGAGTAGATGTTAAACCTGCTGTGTGGCATATCTCAGAACCAGAAATGATCTCAGGAAGAGGCTGAAAACTTGAAAAGTAACCGAGCATTAACATGTGAAGGCTCATGTTTGTTTCCTGCAGTGGTGGATTCACTTCTTCAGTGTACATGTTTGGGCAAAGATTTAGAAAGTGTTGCTCCTACAGTTTGTCCACCAGGGTGCGCTGACAGGTTTATTTTTCAGCTAGAAAATGTGCTGCTGGTGAAGCTCTTGGTCAGTGTTCCTTAGCTGACCTCACCATGTAAAGAGCCTTGTGATAATGTTTGTTTTGATTTGGCGCTGTACAAATCAAATTGAATGTAAATGAATTTAATAATAAGGGTCATATTTTTAAATAATGAATTCTGAATGGAGATTTTATGGGTTTTTTTTAACTTTCAAATATTGATATCTCAAAAATCCACTCAACATACTGGAAATAGACACTTTTACACAAAGGTGGACTTGTGTTACACAACACCTAGATGTTTAACTGAGTGAGCTGGATTGTTGTGACAAAATTGTGTTATAATGGACAGTCACTGAAAATGTCATTGATATATTCCTCTATAACGGACACTCTGCAAATGCCTCCTTAATTTGTGTATGTGTATTTTTTAAAGGTATGTAGTCCTATGTTATCGTATTGAATATTGTTCTGTAAAATAAAACATAAATGAATGGCAGCAGCACATTGCTGTTATTAATGATTTATTTGAGTTCACAGTCACTTAGTAAATAATTGTTTCTTGTGCCATAAAGTAGTACAGCAGATTTAACCCATGTATGACACACTGAGCAGCAGAGGCTCTGTCATACGATTGTTCCCATGACTCAGAGTGAACATGATATCTGAGTGTTGATGTGCCGCACTACAGACAATATTAAAGGCAGTAGCTTTAAATTTCTCACAGTGCAGTTTCATAACATCAGCCACTGTTGGTGAGTGAGATAATAATGATGGTGACAATCTGATCCTCCAGTGACTGATTTAACAGTTTCCTCTTGTTTCTCTCCAGCAAATGCACACAGACGTGGCCACAGGTCAGATCCACGGCGAGCTGCAGGACGGTGTCGCTGCTCTGGAGCAACTCATCACAGAGCTGCAGGAGCTGAGCAGGAAGCTACATGACCAATCACAGTGACCATCCTCAAGACACGCCCCCTCTCTCCAGCTGTGACTGATGGTAACGACTGATCAAAGACAGACAGACCGCAGCACCGCCCATCTGCCTTTAAATAATCATGATGTTTTTGTACGTATTTGAACGTAAACCATGACTGTAAGGCACTAATCAATAAAATACTTCAGAGTTTTAATGCCTGCTTTAGATTCTGTTTATTACACAAGAAAAACATTTGAGCTCGAAGAAAGAGCTGGTGTCAGGTTTAAGGTGTTGTACAGAAAAATCACTGCTTTCCTTTGCTCTGAGTCTAAATCCTGTTCATGGTCTGAGGACTTAGACCTACAGCTGTGGTCCCTCTATTCACTCACCTGCTGCCTCTGAGTTAATATATTATTTTTGGTCAGTTTGATATTCACTCTAAGATGAAAGCCTGAAAGTGGCATTTTCTTTTTATTGCTGACCAGGTCTGGAGCAGATCCCTGCTCAGCTGTTAGTTCTAGTTCAGACCTGAGTGAATCACACTGAACAATCTGTATATGTATTTACTTTGTTCTATTGTACCCTGGCCCTGAGAGCTCAAAACACTGCAACTTGATGAGTGATGAACCAGCCTGGTTCTTTGTGACTTTTGAAGTTAAAAGCTCTGTACTATGTTTGGTAGGAAACTGAAATCGAACAGCAGCCTGTCCAGTTCATACACCACCTCCTCATCAGGTTCTGCAACACTAATAACATTACACTACTGTTGCTTTTGTTCCTGACAGACAGGACCCATTATTCACCACCACAGGTTTCATGTGGAGGTAAACAGTAGCTTTAGTCATTTTAACTAATTTTATTTTCTGGTGAGGACGTACTTTAGGACACAGCTTGAATCTTCAAATTTACAACACAAATGCACAACTACAAACTTTGAAAAGAAACTTCTTGCAGACTAAAGAGCACAGCAGTTGTCACTTGTGTTTTCCTGTCCAGGCTCTTCACTACACCTGTCACATTAATGCTGTAGTCATGTCACACTGCTAGCTTTGTACCAGCTAAGTTACTCACACTCACTCACTCTCAACACAGACACTCACACACACAGAAACACTCACTCACTCTCATACACCCACTCACTCACACAGAAACTCTCACACACACACACACACTCACACAGAAAAACTCACTCACTCACTCTCTCACACGCACACTCACTCAGTCGCACACCCACTCACTCACTCACACACTCACACAGAAATACTCTCACACACACACACACACTCACACAGAAAAACTCACTCTCTCACACGCACACTCACTCACTCACACAGAAATACTCTCACACACACACTCTCACACAGAAACATTCACTCAGTCTCACACTCACTCACAGAAATACTCTCACACACACTCACTCCCTCACACACACACGCACACACTCACACAGAAAAACTCTCTCACACTCACTCTCTTACACGCACTCACACTCAGAAACACTCACTCACTCACTCTGACACACCCACTCACACAGAAACACTCACTCTCACTCACTCATGCACGCACTCACTCACTCACTCTCTCACTCAGTCACTCACTCACACAGAAACACTCACTCACTCTCACACTCACTCGCAGACACTCACTCTATCATTCTCAACACAGACACTCACACAGAAACACTCTCACACACTCACCCACTCACTCACTCACACACACACACACACACTCACTCAGACTCACTCTCACACTCACTCACAAAGAGTCACTCACTCACTCACACACACGCACTCAGTCACTCACACACACACACACACACACGCACTCACTCAGTCACACACCCACTGACAAACACAGAAACACTCTCACTCACACTCACTCACTCACTCAGAGACACTCACTCACACAGAAACTCACTCACTCACTCAGAGACACTCACTCACACAGAAACTCACTCACTCACTCAGAGACACTCACTCACACAGAAACATTCACTCACTCACACAAAAACACTCACACATACAGAAACTCTCACTCACTCACTCACTCACTCACTCACTCACTCACTCAAACAGAAACACTCACTCACAAAGAGATACTCACTCACACACACACACACGCTCACTCTCTCACTGGAACATGATCTTGACTCTGCTCAGGTTTTATCTCCTTGTGTCTTCACTGTAGTGGAGCTGGTGTTTTCTTCAGTCTGCTCCTCTTTATCGCTGATCCTCCACCTTTAAATCAGAGCCTGTTGTAGTGACCTGATAAGAAGAGAGCCATGTGAGATAGAGCCACATGAATGTGTTTATGAAGACCAGTGTTCATGGATGATATCACATGTTATCAGGTGAGAGGCTGGAACACAGCTACCGGATGTTAACAGTTAAAAAGCTGGCTGATGTTTGTGCAGCTCCAGTCCTGGAATGAAAAGTATAATGACCCATTTCATTTCCTCTCTATCATCCATTTATCACTCACAGACTCAGGATCAGTCAGCAGCAGTGACTCATCTTCTTAATGGGACTGTAAATGCTGAGATAAACCACATCAGAGTCATTTGCTGTTGTTCTGTCATCACCCAGAGGACAAACACCAGTCTGCTTGTTCAGCCTCAGACTAACTCTCCCAGAATTCCTGGTATTCCTCAGTGGAGAAGCTCTGACGCTGACTCACTAAACTCCCATTACATCACATCTCAGTTCGTGTGGGAAAGACTATTTTAGTTTGGAATGATTCTCATGAACAAGCTGATTCATGACCACAGTTATTCTCCAGGTCGAGTCACTTCATTGCCCTCAGACTCTGGAAGGTGCTGTTCAGTACATGTTGATGAAGCTGCATCATATGAGGTCATCTGTTTTTAAACACTAATCCTTTAGCATGACGTGTGTGATTCCACTAAAACAACAGCATGTAAAGAAGCTCATTGTGGCTCTATGTGTGAGGGTTTTTCCACAGGACTGAGTCAGTCTGCTGAGCCGTGTTTCCACTACAGCCCCACAGCAGGGGACAGCTGTGCTCTGCTGGGCTGCTGTGGTCCTGCTCAGGACCAACTAGGACCAACCCCTGGCGGTCTCCTCCCCTGTGCTGTGTCCTTGGCAGCTAAACTAAAGGAAGTCTGTCTGTCTTCAGCTGTCAGTACTTTTGAAATGGTTTTTAGTTTGTGTTGCTGGTTGCCCATAACTTTCTATTGGAGCTGTGTTAAGTTACACAGAATCTCTCCTGCTGTTGCTCCTTCCCATTAAAAGTTTTCCACTAGTGAACCAACATGCTTTTATTATGAAGGAGTTATAAGAAACTCCAAGTATTGGCCAGAAGTTAGCTGAGCTTCATTATCAATGATGTTCTTCAATAAAAACAGGTCTGATCAACCAGATGTGGATTGAAATACTGGAGGGAGGAACACTACAAACAGACAAACACTGGAAAGAGAAGCCGACGACAGGCTATGACACTGTTATGTTCCCCAATGTGGAAACTAGGGGATGAGGAGAAGTGACAAGTGTAAAATGTGTCCCGGGAGGAAAGAAAGATTAGGAGCAAAACTATTTGTGAGGAATGACTCTTATTATTAAACTCAACAAACTAAATCACTGTAAAAGGTAACTAGAAGCACTGGTTTCAAATAACTAAAACAATAAACAACCAGGATTTCTACAACTTAACATGAATGTTCGAAGAACAAAGGAAAACTCAGGTAATTTGGGAAGCAAAGCACCCTCCTTCTCAGCAAGGAGCAAGACACACAGCTCTCACACTGCCACACTCAGTGGCACCTGTTGGGCTCTCTCTCTCCATTCTTATACTTCCTGCTAAATAGTGAGTGGGAACAGCTGCGTGCAGCTCACCTATTCCACTGAAGGTGGAGCAAACCTGGTGTATGAGAGAGAGAGAGAGAGAGCAACACCAAACCACAGTACTAGGGTCGTAACAAACACACTGTACAGACTGCACCAACCCTTTTTGTATGATTTACAATCACTCATACTGACAACTGAGTGTATGAAAAACATTGATTAGTGCAGCTTTAATGTGACCTGAGGCCTGTACTATGAAGCAGGATTAGAAGTTATCGATGACGGTGTCCTATGACGTTGGTTCACTTATTACCAGGGTAAATCACGATGGTAACCGTTTGCTGTTTGCAGTAGTCACTTGCTTTTCCGACTCATTTATTATGACCTCACAACCTGAAACCAATCAGAAACGAGTAGAATAGCGAAAGGTTAAGTTAACACACTGATGTCATTACTGTATGACTGATGCAGATTGGTCATGAAACTATATAACATTAGTTATTGTTTAACGTTTGCACAAGTGGATTAATTTGTCATCCTACAACTTTAGTAGTGCTGACATTAGTTATGTTAATTGCAAACTTCACTTTTACTAGCAGTGGCAAGATTAGATAAGGTTTATTTAAAGTAGATTGTTTTCTATTTCACCATAATTTAGACATTCAAATATAAAATTAGTAGTTGAAATATGCAAAGAGGACAAGAGAAAGAGAGAAGACTCCTGATGGTGAGGAGCTTCACTCAGTGACTGTAACACCCTCAGTGTTTCTCAGTTCAGTAAATGTCCGACAGAAACAGGTTTTAAGCCCTCTCACAGCCACAGGAAGTATGACTGTTGTCTGTTGAAGGCATTCATCATTTCATTTAATGTGGAGGACTGGAGGAGACACACCAACCCTCACCCTGTCACCTCAGGTCTCAGCCAGCTGGACCTGGACCCTGGTCTCTGGAGTAGCAGCTTAATGCTGAGGTCAACATCCAGTCACTCTGACTGATGTGGGCTCATTCACACAAACAGGATTCACCACACAGGAGGTTAGAAGTGATTTCTTCTGATCATATAAAAACATGTTTGGTCACTTTCTATCACGACCCAGGATAACCCAGGATGACCCAGGATGATGCAGGATGATGCAGGATGATCCAGGATGATGCAGAATGACTAAATGAACCAACTCTCTTGAAAACTCTCTGCCCTGATTTTCAACATTGCATCATCTGTGATTACACATTGTGGTTGCAGCCATGTATTTCCCCACAAGTTTGGCAAATGGCTCTTCACCTCCACCCTCTTACCGAAGCTGCATCTGGCCTGTGTTTACCATCACCCTCGATGGGTCCAAATCCAGCAAAGTCCACCACCTACATCTTTCTCACACAAACAACACACACACTTTCCATC